GCATTTCTCCTGAAATGCTACCCATTCATCTGGACACACTGAAAAGCCTGCAAGATAAGGAGCCTTAAACAATATATCCCACAGCAAGTGCATCCAAAATGTTCCACTGGTCATTCATCCGATATTTCTATGACTGGTGTCACATACTCCATGAACATTCAGCAAATGATACAATATCTAGGAGTGCTTAATCATATGATAGTTAATCACATGATAGTGTGACAGCAGAGACATGGGGACCTGCTCCCTTTTGGAAATCCAAAAGGGGTATTTAGGTTTCCCATTCAACCCACATACCCCACTGACCTTAAGATGGTGTGCCGCTTTCCTCACAACTTTCACCATAATGAGGAAGAAGTCAAGAAAGACATCAGTGCAAGTATTTCAGCTTACCAGGTAGAAAAATCTCCCCTCTCCTCCCCCTGCACACTGTTCTGGGGTTCTTACAACCCTCCAGATAGGATTTCTGATTTTCTCATATATTGTGAAGTGAGTTGCAGTAAGTATCAGCTAATCAGCAATGATTTTAAACTGATGCATTTCAACAGTGCGATTCAGCTGCAAAAAAAAAGGGGGGGGGGAAGGCTAAGGCAATCTTCAGCCTCATTAACAGGCCTATAGTTTCCAAGTCATGGGAATTCATAATCCCACTTTATTCTGCACTAGTCAGACCTCATCTGGATAACCATGTCCAAGAAGGCTGTAGAGACAATAAAATGGGTTCAGTGAGGACCACTGGCTAATGAAGATACAGTGGTACCTCGGGTTAAGAACTTAATTCGTTCTGGAGGTCCGTTCTTAACCTGAAACTGTTCTTAACCTGAGGTATCACTTTAGCTAATGGGGCCTCCCGCTGCCGCCGTGCGATTTCTGTTCTCATCCAGGGGCTAAGTTCTTAACCTGAGGTACTATTTCTGGGTTAGCGGAGTCTGTAACCTGAAGCGTCTATAACACAAGGTATTACTGTATTTAGGGATGTAGAAAATAAATAAATAAATGAAGAAAGGAAGGTGTAAACTAAGAACTGGGTATATTCATCCTGGTTTGATTTGGTTAATTTGGGGGATTGGTGGGGAAAATGTGGCACTCTTCCAATACCTGAAGGGCTGTCACACAGAAGCTAATTTTCTGCTGCCTCAGCAAGCGGGACCAGATCTAGTGAGCTGAAGTTACAGGAGGAAAGGTTTTGGCTGAACAACAGGAAAACATTCTGGATGGTAAGAGTAGTTTGGCAGTGGAACCAGCTTCTAAGGGCGGTGGTGGGCTCTCCCCCATTGTAGGTCTTCAGTTAGAGGCTGGAGAGTCATCTGCTATGGATGTTCTAACTCTGGATGTCCTGAGTTGAGTAGAAGGAGGTGGCCTGAGGCCTTCATTCACTCTATGATTCTATGGGAGGTGGCCTGAGGCCTTCAATCACTCTATGATTCTATGTCTATTTTGTCCTCAGATTTCTGTAGCTGAATGCAGGTTGTCAATGTATACTTTTAAGAAAGGAATCGTGTGTGTGTGTGTGTGTGTGTGTGTGTGTTGGAGTTTTTAGACATTTAAAACGTAACATGGCTGTATGCAATTGGCATTTCTCAAATAAAATGAATTGAGAGGTGTTAGATATTTAAAAGATGGGTGCATGCGTGCCATGCTTTAAACGTGCATCATGCTTTAAGCTTCACAGAAGTAATAACCAAAAAAAGTTTAGCCTTCTCCAGATATGGACTTACATCTAACAGATGTCATCACGAAAGCAGCTTTCACCATGATAAGGGAGCAGAGCAGCAGAAGTGAGAAGATGCTGACTGGTTTCCTGATGAAAGGTCCCCACTTGTCATCCTCAAATGTATACAGTGCTGCAAATAAAGAAGAGTAAGCCACCTAGAAGCTGTAGGAGCATCAGAAAATTTCAGGAACTAGAAATCTTGCAGGCAAGCAAGAGGCATTAGCACAGTTCAAGGACAAATTCCAGCCAGGAAAAGCAATCAAGGATGTTAAAAAGCAGGGACTGTGGCCTGGGGAGGAAGCATGACTCCGTGAGTGTCCTGAGGGCCGGGCCACATTTGACCCCCAGGCTTTAGGTTCACCACCCATTTTAAGGGATTACAGTTTGAATTGAAAAAGTCTGATTCTGTCAGGCTGCTGCCAGCAACTCCCATGGCCGGTTTACCCAAGAACATATAAAGAAGGCAAGGAATGTTCTTGCCATCCGCTTTTTATTCAGTATTTACAGAGAGAGGCTTTAGAACCCAGCCTCTTGGATAATGGCGTTGTCCCAAGTGAATCTCCACACACACACCCCATCTCTCCCACTTCCTTATTTGTCATCCTCATCACCTCTACAGGTGCTGACAAGTGCCTTTGAGCTCTGGCTCTCCTACTTTCAAGGCTTGACGGGTTCTGGGTGTGTGTGTGTGGAATGCTTTCTAAAGACACTGAGTCCATCTGCTGTCACCCTCTTGGTACTTCCTCCTCCTCCTCCTCCTCCTCCTCCTCCTCCTCTCCCATTATTTCTCAACTTTCCCCCTCATCTGCCTCTGAGCTATGACCTCCCTCAAATCCCTGTTGTAATTCTAAACAGTCCTCCTCTTCTCTGGAAGAGTCAGGCTAGGGAGGCAGTCTCCACCATTCCTCCTCTGCCCAGTCCCTGACAGTTTCATATATTGCACAAGCATATTCCCAGAGTTTTCCAAGCACATTAGAAAAGTTCATAATATCATTTGTCAAGTTCATTGAACCTTTCACCTGGCTCTGCTTTCCCTCTGTTGTCTGGTAGCCTTCTCATCTGTATGCCAGAAAACCCGATGTACTCATATTCTGGCTCAGCATTCTCATATCCCTGGTCCAAAATCATTGATTCTACAGAGAGGAAAGAGCACTTTTAAGAGACTGTCTGCTTTGTGATTTTCTGGATGAAAGGGTCTTGCTGCACCCTGAATGGGTGCGCATCCAGCCCTCTCTTTCTACAGTGCACAGGTAAGAAACTGTAACACAAACCAATGAGAATATAGCCCTTTTGGTGGCTTCTGTGGGTTAAACCATAGAGCCTAGGACTTGCTGATCAGAAGGTTAGCGGTTCAAATCCCCGCGATGGGGTGAGCTCCCGTTGCTCGGTCCCTGCTCCTGCCAACCTAGCAGTTCGTAAGCACGTCAAAGTGCAAGTAGATAAATAGGTACCGCTCCGGCAGGAAGGTAAACGGCGTTTCCGTGCGCTGCTCTGGTTCGCCAGAAGCGGCTTAGTCATGCTGGCCACATGATGCAAGAAAAAGATTTTTGGTACCTATAATGACAGGGTCCCCTGACCAGAACCCCCTTGACATGATGTTATATCTCCTTGCAGACACACATAAGTATGTGACCTGGCGGGTAGCACTTTTTGCAACTGCTGCTAGGAAAATTAGAGCAAATTATATAGCCAAGGTAGCCATTAACTGTAAAGGAGATGAATTTATTTGATCCCATCTATCTACCTCAGGCTATGCTCTATCTTTGTCACCAAACTCTGAGTATAAATTGCACACTGTATTAATTGATACTGTTTTTAACATTAGTAACCATGTGATGATTTTAGCTTATGAATTTTATTGTTTAATGTTTTTATTTGTACATTGGGGTACTTTTATAGCTTTGTTTAGAGTACGTAATGTTTTAATAATACAAATGTTTTAAGTCTTTTTTTACCAATTCAGTATAATTTCTTTTAATTGTCAAATAATTCTGTGTACATTGCGGCAGCCTTTGGCTATGTGCAATAAAACTGACTGAGACTGAGACTGAGACTGGACCTAATGGTCAGGGGTCCCTTTACCTTTACCTTTTTTCCTACATTTATAACATTTATGTATTGCATTTTATTAAGAGCGTATTAGTACTGTATAGGCAATACTAGGGCTACCTTCTGGAGCCTCCTGGTTTGAGTGAAATGTCTTTGGGGGATAGTGAGACATAAGCCTTGGAGAACGTGAATCAACTAGTAATATGGTTGCTTTAATCAAGTTTCTTTCCCCACCCCCATCACTAGTCCTGACCAATGTTTCAGGTCAGCCTCTTCACTTTGGCAAATATTTCTCCCCAAATTCAGTTTAATGTATTGATTTACTTTTTGGAGGTACCAAGAGATTCCAGATATACTAAACTGCTCCTTTTCCAGTCAATTTGATGGCTGCTGACTAGTAGTCTCCCTATAGACATTGCTTCTAACTTTTGCCCACTGTGGGACAGGGGTCCCACCATCCAGCCCTCACTCTTGAAAATTGAGCCCTTTGGAACACATATCTAAAAACTGAGAAAAAAAGTTTCGATATATAAGAGCTGACACTTTTTAGCAGATATACATTTTAAGAAAGTTTATACAGCAAGCCAAACGTTAGCAAAAAGCAGCTGACATTAACTAAACTGTAGTGAAAAATGTGACTGTTTCTTACAATGTTTCCACAATAACCTCCTAGTTCTGCAGCAAGAAATTTTATTGCTCTTGGAGAACTGTGGCTACATGGCATAGTGCAGAGTTGCAAATTTCACTTCGGAATAAGACATCTTCCCTAGGTAAGGGCACCTCCTTTATTTTGCTTCTGTTGTGTGAACATAACACCTTATTACAGAACCAGAGCAACCCTTTGAGAATTTCTTCTCATTCTCCCCGTTACCTGCTTTTGTAGGTTCAAACTCCGAGTGCACTTCCTCAGTGTGGGATATTTTCTCTGACACATTGTCATTGTAGTATTCTTCATTCTGATAGCCGTCATCCATGGTAGGTTAAGGCTGCTCCAAGTCAGAGTTCTTGGGGCAGATGCAACACAGCCACTTGTGCTTCCTTTCTGTCACTATCAGCTTTTATCTAGCAAGCCACAAATGAGTCAGGCCCCTAAATGCCCACCCCTAGCACCACCTCGCTGCTTGGGGTAGGGGAAAGTCTTCTTGTTTACTTGGTAAAAGCCAAGGGAAAGCACAATTTGTGTTCTGTTTTTCCCCCCTTGTGCACCTCCCTTGCAACGATGCTGTGGACACTTTAAAGCATTGCAGTTCTGCAACTACGTAGCACTTAAAATGTAACATGCCTTACTTTGGTTCAGAATGTGTCCCTGCTGTCACAGTCACTTCTCTGCTGGGAGAAAAGTTGTGTGGTCTCCTAAAGCTATATGGATGTGCTTTGCACTTAAGTTCCTGTTTCCACAAGCCAAACACCTCCTCAGAAGTGGCTCTTATTAGATGGAAGCAGTTTACAATTTAGTTGTTACAATCACCATCAAGTCATTTGTATCATGAGTTGCACCTCCTACCTACTCAGCATCTGATTACAGGAAAAGCTCAATTTGTTCCAAGATAAGTTTCCAGCTTTTAGTGGTGAATAAAAGCCGTCCTATGCACCCTTATCAGTAGATCAAAAGACCATGATCAAAAACTCTGTTAACACTGGTAGAAGTCTGCAATCCTATGTAGGCTTTAGTAAGAATGCATAAAAGTGGTTATTTGTTACGTTCCATGACTTGTAATCTTATTTAGTAATTTTCTAATGAACTGCATGGGGAGAGGAAGGAACTAGTACTACTGTACATCTGAGAGTGATCAAGCAGCATATACAAGAATCCACTCTTGGAATTGTAAGTACAGAATAATAGAATCATTGAATCAACTGTAACTTCTCCCACTTTTAAGAAGCATCAATTTGACGGTTTTTATCCAAAATGAGTTATGATGCAAGATACCACTTCTGGGGTGCTTCTGGAGGTAGCTGTATCACTGAAGGCTCAGGCAGCCTCAGTGGCTAGAGGTGCCTTTTACCAACTGTGGCTGGTTCAACAGCTGCAACCATTCCTAGACTGGGAAAGTGTGGCCACATTTCCTCAAGGCAATGGACTATGTGGGGCTTCCCTAGTCACTTGATCCAGAAGCTGCAGTTAGTGCAAAAATGCTACAGCCCTGTTGCTGCCAGGGGTGAGACTTTGTCAGCATACAACAGCTGTACTCAGGGATCTGCCCTGGTTGCTGATTTGCCACCAGGCCAGGTTCAATGTGTTACTATTAGTATATAAAGTCTTTAATAACTTGGGCCTAGTTTACCTGCAAGATCACCTTACCCCATATATGTCCACTTGACCACTTCGAATTGAGGAACTGGCACTGTTACAGGTGCCACATAATACCCATTCTGCATTTGTAAAAATGGTATTTTAGTGTGGTAGCACCTATACTTTGGAACTCCCTTCCTACTGATACCAGGCAGGCACTTTTCAGCACCTGCTAAAACATTGTTTAGCGAAGTCTACCCAAATATCTAGAATGCTGTTGTGCTTTTTGGTTTATTGCTGGTTTTAGTTTTTTGAATGTTTTAAATTGTTGTTTTAATTGTTATTACCAATAAATTTTATTGTTTTATTCTTTTTGTAAACCACTTTGAAGTTTTTTCCCCACTATCCAAAAATAAATTTTATGACAAAAAACAAATAAATTCACTTACATCTTTATAATAAAAACAAAGATATAAGCCCAACAATTCAATGCTATTTGGAAAGAATGTGAACACTACTACAGCCACACAAAATGGACTGTGCACAGAACAGGAACAACACACTAAATGAAGTTGAGAGAGAGAGACAGACAAAAACATCCTTAATGGATTACTTTATGGAATTTATTAACCAGGTAAACAATTCTTCAAAACCATTAGCATCTTCATTGTATGGAATGATTTGAAACTGACTGGTTTAGATGAGATTTCTGCAATAAAATATCTTTCAACAGTATATTCTTGGTATTTTAGTTAATTTATTTTACCATTTTTTTAAAAAGGAAAAGAGAGAGAAATCTTAGTTTGGGGGTGACATCACTTTCCTCTCTTCTCAGGGCAAACAGGAAACACTGTGAAGGACCAGTTATGCTGAGGGAAAGCCCTGTAAGAACAGCTCTTGGAATAACTATCAAATGAGTCTTTACAACTCTTAGATATTTTCCTCAGGTGTGGAGACAAGTATTCAAAGAAGAAACATGGGCAGTGAACAGTGTATTTTACAGAAGCAGGTAAAGCTCTCACCGGTTCTGGAGTGTTTTACCCCTGCCCTTGAGCTTTTTACTTAAAGTGCTTCATTTGCAAGTCTGAGCCACTCTTAAGCAAACTGGTAATGTAATTTGTGGGTTTCACTTGATTTGCTAAGGCAGCTGCAGCTCATTCCTAGAGGCAAGACAGCAAGCAGACTGCAAAGTTAAATAATAACTGATAGGCACTAGGTAAGAAGCAGCAACAGAATGAGTAGAGACAATTTAGCTCATTCCAAAGCTGGCAGCCTAGCAATAACCTTTCATCCGTGCTTTTCTAGTGATAATATCAGTGGGGTAACAACAAAACCAATACAACAGCATGAGAGGAATCTTTACATCAAATTACATAGCTCATATGCAAATCAGGACTGTGTTATCTCTTGGCTAGGAACGTGAACTGCATTCCGTCCTCAAGCCTTCGCCAAGAGTCAAGCAACAGAATTAAGGGTAGATTTCTGGAAACAGAATTGGTCCTGTGTAATCAGTACAAATGCTGTAGAAACATTTACCATCAGTATATGGGACACAGTCACTTGTTCCGATGCCACTTGGTTCTCCCTTACCATGCACCAAGCATGGTCAGGGTAGTTATTTTAGGATACTGTCAAAGTGTGTGTATATATGCATATACATATACATACACACACAAACAATCCAGATTAAATGAAATGAAGCAGTCAGCGGCCATCCAGGGCTTTGTCACGTGCTATTACTGACTCATCAAATTTTATCATGAGGGTGGTTCCCTTGTGCCAGTGGGCTGTCACCTTGGCAGGGAAGCCGCTGCAAGTGAGCATAGCCTCCACGATGCCAGCTGTGAAGGAAGCACAGTTGAGTGTGCTGTTCTCCTTGGGAACAGAAATGTAAGTATTGATAAGAGGCTCCTTCTCAATGATGTAGTAAGTCTTGTCATCGTCATTGGCTTGCTCCAGCTTGTCAGCCTCCTTCCCAAAGAGAGCCTTCCATACGGTAACCTTGATGAACAGGAGAATGTTGATGACCTTGGTTTCTCTCTTACCATTTTTCTCCCGCATCACCAACACATCCAGGATACGAGCACCCACCTGCTGACCTAGCTCAGAAAGTTTGTTCTGAAGCTCAGAAACAGAGTAGACCCTGTTCTGACAGTACTGCACAATCTCAGAAAACAATAATGAAAAGGCACTAAGGCTAACATCAGTCTTGGGTCGGGTGAGTGACCGTTCAAGGATAGCAGACTTTCCACGGGTAAAACGTGCGTCCATGATGCTATTAAGAAAGAAAATTAAAAGGGTAATAAGCACCTTTCTAAAATTCACACAACTGCATTTCAAATGGGGCACTACTTTATACAGCAACTTCTAAATGATATTTATTTTGCATGGGAGGACAGACATATAAGCTAGTACAAGGAAGTGGATAGGATGCTGAATCTGGGTATTGCCAGCCTAAGTTTAAATCCCCACTAGGTGACTTTGGGCTAGCCATCACCTCCCAGCCTAACATAATTCATGGATTTTTGTGAAGGTAAAATGTGAGAATTCCTATAAATGTATAACATTCAGATGCTTGGGAAAAGGATTCAGTAAAACCACAATATAACAAGATATGCATATCTGCAGGGGAAAAACAACCAAAATAATGATGCTTGATCACCTTCTCTACAAAAAAGGGCAGAGTAGTTCATAGCTAATAGTTCGTAGTTAGCCTAGCAGCCCCTGAAATGGTGACAGTGACTTACAAAGATAACAAACTTGAAACTCCAGGTTCCTTTAGTCTATGCCACAAATGGAAACTTATTATTGCAAGCCTCTTTTTATTCTATGTGAATTGAAGTTCTGTGAAAGGATTACCAAGCACTCCTAGCACTCCTGCTAAACTGCAGTTCCCGGGGCTTCCTGTGGGAAAAGGCATGTCCGATAAGCCATATATCAAACCTGTTTACATTTATAAGCCAGATACGAGACACAACCCCATTTTGCACCACGAAAGAGCTGCACCTGGGACGCCACTAGGTCTTTAGAGGGGACCTTCCCCCTCCCACTGTTTCTGCAAACCTGGAGGAATCACGGAGATTAAGAGGGGAAGGCAATGACAATAATGCTTCCTCTGCCTCCCCGCCAACTTTTACTGAGCCCAAATGCTCTTCATATCTCTTACCTACTGTGTGAAATTATCACTCTTTTGCAGCGATGTTCACCTTCCGCCTGTACGACAATCTTTACGGCTGCTGCAAAAGGGGAGGGTTTGAAACGAATGCGTTTAACGGAAGTGGCGAAGACTCGGAAGCGTCACCATGGCAACGAAACGGGGGCCTAGGTGGTCTTGCGACCATCGTTCCGTGAGAATGAGCTAAAACGGAGCGTTTCCTCGGAGCGCGAGTTGAACCTAAGGGAGTATTATAAGGCTGGTAATAACAGCCTGCGTGTCTTTACCAAACTGCAGAAGAAAACACGGCTTGGTAGAAGTTCAGCGGCAGAGGTTGTGGCTTGGAAGGTTGAGCGATCACCGTGGCAACCTGTCATGTACTCTATGGTTATCACACGATGAACGCCCGGCTGGATTTCCGGTCTCGTCTCTATGGCAAAAGGCAGTTATACGCATGCGCCCCTCATTTCCCTGTTTAAAGGGAAGAGTACTGGTGAGGTTGTGGTTAAGGCAGCTTTTCTCGCTGGTTAGAAAAAATGTAGAGAGGCATGGTGTGTGCTTTGTGCCCCTCTGGTGGCCAGCTGGCATTGCAGTGATTTCAGCGCGGGGTGCGGGAATAACAAAAATATAGAGAGAGTAGAGAGTCTTGTGGCATTTTAAAGAGGAACAAACGTATTCTGGCATAAGCATTGGTTCTTACTATGCCGTAGCACATTGGTTACAGTCTTTAAGGTGACTCAAAACTCTTAGGTTTTGCTGCATCAAGCACACAGCTGACCCCTCTGGAAATGGTTGCAGTGGTTTTTAAGTGATTGAAACACACAGTTACTTTGCATTCAGTAAGTGGAAGGAGCATCCATACTTTCTTTTAGGGTTGGCCATGTCTGGAACTTACAAAGTCTGAGGTAGGTGTTGAGTTTGTTGGCATCTGAGCCAGTCCCCCCTCCCAATTGTAGGCAGCTTTTCTGTCCATCTAACTCCCAAAAGCTGTTTTTGGTTGGAAGCGCACCGTAGCTGCAACATTCCAAGATGTATTTCAAATTCAGATTCATCAGTGGACTGAAGTATATTGGGAAACACTTCATGTACCTGGAGAAGGATAGAGCATTGTTTCATTTGTGAAGGTACTCCCACCTCTGCTCCTCAAGAAAGAGAAAATCTTCACTAATTATTAGCAGAATATTAGACTGGGGCATCAAGAAGAATGGATCAAATTAAGTTTTTTCTTTATTTTTAAAGATTCTGTGCTTCGTGATCCTCATCTTTCTCTGGTGTCTGGTATTTATACACTATTCAAGGTGTTGGCTCTGACATATAAAGCTCTAGGCCTAGGTCCTACATACTTCTTGAGGCTTCGTCATATGATTATTCCTGCCCAGTAGTTAAGGATCATCAGATGGCCCTGCTGTGAAGCCAAGTTACTCACTCCTCACAAGAGGGTTACAGTGTAGGGCTTTCATAGCAGCATATTCTGTGTGGCAGCTGAAGTGCTGAATTGGTGCCTGAAATCAGTAATAGCCTGCTTTGGATGAGGACCAATAATCTGAAGCACAATTCTGACAAGATGGAGGTTTTGAGGATTCCTGTTTAATTTTCTCAGGGAGAAGGTGCTTAGCCTGTTCTGGATGGGACAGTACTCTTCCTACAGGACCAGCTTTGCCTTTTTTGGATGCTCTTATATTCAACTTTAATCAAGCCTCCCAAACCCCTGGATCCAGCAAGGGTTAAAGCCAGACAGGCCATTAAGAAAACAAAGGGAAGATGATGAGCCATTAAGAAAGCAATGGAGAGGGGGTTCTGTCCCAGATGGTAAATGGATGGGACCCTCCTCTATTGCTGAGAAAATTAGAAGAACAAAAGTCAGAGTTGAGAGTGGGCTATGATGTGACCTGGGGGGGGGGGGGATGTTGCAGGTTGCAAAAGGCAGCAAGCTAGAGGATCAGAGCACAATGGTTGATTTCTGTTTGAATGAAGGCTGTGGCTATGGGAGAAACAAAACCACCTTGGGGTGTTCATGCTGTGACCCCTTCCATCATAGGCTCAGGTTGTATATATGTGTAAATAAACCCTATATGATGAATCATAGAATCATAGAATCATAGAATCATAGAATCATAGAGTTGGAAGAGACCACAAGGGCCATCGAGTCCAACCCCCTGCCAAGCAGGAAACACTATCAGAGCACTCCTGACATATGGTTGTCAAGCCTCTGCTTAAAGACCTCCAAAGAAGGAGACTCCACCACACTCCTTGGCAGCAAATTCCACTGTCGAACAGCTCTTACTGTCAGGAAGTTCTTCCTAATGTTTAGGTGGAATCTTCTTTCTTGTAGTTTGGATCCATTGCTCCGTGTCCGCTTCTCTGGAGCAGCAGAAAACAACCTTTCTCCCTCCTCTATGTGACATCCTTTTATATATTTGAACATGGCTATCATATCACCCCTTAACCTCCTCTTCTCCAGGCTAAACATGCCCAGCTCCCTTAGCCGTTCCTCATAAGGCATCGTTTCCAGGCCTTTGACCATTTTGGTTGCCCTCCTCTGGACACGTTCCAGTTTGTCAATGTCCTTCTTGAACTGTGGTGCCCAGAACTGGACACAGTACTCCAGGTGAGGTCTGACCAGAGCAGAATACAGTGGCACTATTACTTCCCTTGATCTAGATGCTATACTCCTATTGATGCAGCCCAGAATTGCATTGGCTTTTTTAGCTGCCGCGTCACACTGTTGGCTCATGTCAAGTTTGTGGTCAACCAAGACTCCTAGATCCTTTTCACATGTACTGCTCTCTAGCCAGGTGTCCCCCATCTTGTATTTGTGCCTCTCATTTTTTTTGCCCAAGTGCAATACTTTACATTTCTCCCTGTTAAATTTCATCTTGTTTGTTTTTGGCCCAGTTCTCTAATCTGTCAAGGTCGTTTTGAAGTGTGATCCTGTCCTCTGGGGTGTTAGCCACCCCTCCCAATTTGGTGTCATCTGCAAATTTGATCAGGATGCCCTTGAGTCCATCATCCAAGTTGTTGATAAAGATGTTGAATAAGACCGGGCCCAAGACAGAACCCTGTGGCACCCCACTAGTCACTCTTCTCCAGGATGAAGAGGAACCATTGATGAGCACCCTTTGGGTTCGGTCAGTCAGCCAGTTACAAATCCACTGAGTGGTAGCATAGTCAAGACCACATTTTACCAGCTTCTTTACAAGGATATCATGAGGCACCTTGTCAAATGCCTTGCTGAAATCAAGGTAGGCTACATCCACTGCGTTCCCTTCATCTACCAGGCTAGTAATTCTGTCAAAAAACGAGATCAGGTTAGTCTGACATGACTTATTTTTCAGAAATCCATGCTGACTATTGGTGATCACAGCATTCCTTTCTAGGTGCTCACAGACTGTTTGCTTAATCATCTGCTCCAGAATCTTCCCTGGTATTGATGTCAGACTGACTGGGCGGTAATTATTTGGGTCCTCTCTTTTCCCCTTTTTGAAAATAGGGACAACATTTGCCCTCCTCCAGTCTGCCGGGACTTCGCCCGTTCTCCAGGAATTCTCAAAGATGACTGCCAGTGGTTCTGAGATCACATCTGCCAGTTCTTTTAATACTCTTGGATGCAGTTCATCTGGCCCTGGAGACTTGAATACATCTAAACTAGCCAAGTATTCTTGTTCTATCTCCTTAGTTATTCTGGGCTGTGTTTCCTTTGCTGAATCATTTGCTCCAAATTCTTCAGGTCGGGCATTGTTTTCTTTATCAGAGAAGACTGAGGCAAAGAAGGCATTGAGGAGTTCAGCTCTTTCTGTGTCCCCTGTTTGCATTTCACCATCTTCTCCTCTGAGTGACCCCACTGTTTCTTTGTTCTTCCTTTTGCTACTGACATACCCATAAAAGCCTTTTTTGTTGCTTTTAACCTCTCTAGCAAGCCTGAGTTCATTCTGTGCTTTAGCTTTTCTGACTTTGTGTCTACACGTGCTGGCTATTTGTTTGAATTGATGAAGACACCACTGTCTCTGTTGTGCCTCATTTCTAAAACGAAACATGGACCTGGTGTCTGGAACTCTTGGAATCTCACACTGCTTGGAGATTTTGGTGGTGAGCAACGGTATATTAAATAAATAATGTTTAATTCTCTCACTCTATTACTACTACTACTATTATTTTAATAACTTGCATTCCAGTCCATCAAAGATCGACCCAAGATGGCTCATAAAATTTAACAACAACTAAAACATTAAAACCACAGAATATAACATTTGGTGTCTTTGAGTTTGCATCCTGGTGTCTCTTGTTCCAACAGGGCCAGAACTTTGTAATAAGGTTTGTCACAGAGTTCCATGTTACTTAGAGCGGAAGCAGAATTGTTTGTACAAGGTCAGGGAGGCTATTTTGTCTTAATTGCTTGGAAACTTGTAAGTGGTATATAAATTGATGACTGGTGATAATTCATGTCCCATAGCCTTTTTCTTCCTTTCCTCTTCTTTGCCCCTTAGTGACTCAGCTTGCTTCGAAACTGATCTGCTTTGTGCTATGACTAGCCCAAGATGGCTCACCATTATTGTATTTCATTTATTAATAATCACATTCTAAACCACTGCCTCAAGGCGATTTACATATAAGGTAATGAAAAACAAGTTAAAAGCAGCTAAGGCTGCTCGCCCTCCCCTCCCAGCAATACACACTAAGCAGGGTTAAGGAACTGAGGGGGCTGGTAGAAGAGTCATGATGTGTAGACCTTTTATGGCTTGTGGTCTCTGAGCTAAAGGAAGCTTCTGAGAATTTTGCAAGACATAAACATTTAGGTCCACTTGTTGTACAAGTCAGTGACGCCTGCCTTTGGGGAAGTAGCCACATCTCACTTTTGAGGGAACAGCAAACAGTGCTAAGTGCCCAAATAGTTCTGGAGCGCTGGAGCTGTACTACACCACGAGAAAAGAACAAATGGCACGTTGGAGGCCAGGTAGGAACTGGACAGCAAAAAAAGAACCTTGAAGGGTTTGTGTGTGTGCACGTAGGCCTGTCTTCTCTACCTTGACCAGCGTTTGCTTTGATGGATTGGTCTACTTACTCTACTGAAAGAAGTGACGTTTGAAAAGGGAGACCAATACCAATTTAGAGGGTAATTATTAGGCTAACTATGTGGGCAGAACAGAGGCTTCATCAGGTTCAGCAAAAGCACAGTGTGAATGGGATGGAGCAGTGTGTGCTTGCTCTGCAAAATCAAGTAAAGAAGCAGCCTGACTCTATCCGTGAGGATACTGGTCTCACCAGCATTCCTGGTTGACCTGCTCCCAACATTATGTGTTTCTGGTAGAGAAGCAGTGACTCATCCTGGCTTATTGATTTAATATTTGCCCCCAGTGTTTCTTGACTTCTAGCCCACTGTCTTTACTAAACAAAGAGCCCTTGTGATATAGCGGTTAAAGTGTTGAACTAGGACCTGGAAGACTAGGGTTCAAATCCCAAATCAGCCAGAAAGTTTACTGAGTGCCTTTGGGCCAGTCACCATTTCTTAGCCTGACCTACTGCATAGGATGTTTGTGAGAATAAAATGGGGGTGGGGAGAAGTGTGTCTGCCTCCTTAAGCTCCTTGGAGGGAAGGTAGGATATAAATGTGATGATGATACAAAGGACCACACTGCTTTTGAACACACCTCTGCAACTTGGCATGCATACTCTTCCATGACCCACCCACCCACTCCTGGCTGCCTCTTTGAGATTATGATTTGGGCATTCTCTCTTGAGTTTCATTCTACTATCTTTATCTCTGACTCTGGATGGAAAGGGAGGCTTTGGGTTAAACCTCTTCCGGATAATGTCTGTATGTCTGTCTCTCCCCGCCTCCCCCCCACCCACCGCAATCTACCAAGTGTGACTGTGAAATAACACAGAATATCTAGAAACTTCCCTGTACATTGCATGTAGAGTGGGATATGAATGTTATACATAAAAAATAAAGTTTACCTCCACATAATATGAAATGGGTATCTGCAGTTACTTTATTTAGATGTTTCTTTATCTTTCACTGTATGGTCTCAGGGTGGTGTACAGTGTATTAAAACTCACCAATACATATTTCTAAAACATATTTAGTCTAAAGCAATAACCAGTATCAAAGGTTACCTATAGCTCTACCTGGATTTTATTTATATTATGGGTTGTATCCAGCTTCTCATTCCACATGAGGACTTCAGTTTCACACTCTTCCCCTTGCTTGGCCCCCAGTTCCCACACTCAGCCTTGGAAAACAAATTTGGGGCAGTGCAGGAGGCACGTGAGAAGAGGAGAAGGAGGAGAAGTGCCATTCTACTTACGGAAGTTGTTCTGCATGCACAGTGATTTAGCTGGCTGCAACTGTAGCATTCTTTGATAAGGCATGCCAGACAGGAAGAGAGATAATAAGGAAGCGCTAGCACTGCTGTGAGAGCAGCTTAAAAATGGAATTTATATATATTTAAGGTAGATGTGTGCTTGTATCAAACCTGTCCATTTTACCCAGCCTTCCAAAACAAAAACCATAGTAACACATAAGGCAGTGGCCAACTAGATTACATGATTAGTTTGTTACCCTAGAATCAATGGGATGTATGGAGCACCATCTCCCCAGTTTGTTCCCTGCCCTCCCTTGCAACATATGCTTAATGAGATCATGGTGATATGGGCAGGAATGCTATGTGAAGTATACTGCGTCTGGCTGGGACTCAACTTTGCAAAGGTTCTACTCATAGAAGGCAAGAGATAGAGAGCAGTTCCTATAAAGAGGCAACAGAATGGCCAAATGATGATGATATCCGTTTATTGTGAGGACCATGCCTGTACACAAACATTAACACAACAATAGTTAAAAGATATTAAAATTCATTACATACTACGCCAACAAAACCTTCATCCCACAAAATAGAAAGAGAGGGAAAACGAGCAACGAGTTAAACAGACGATGAAGGGGTCTTTACATTGTCATCCATAAATCTTTCCCTGGCTTTCACGGCCTTTATCACAAAAACCGCTACCACATGGGTAATACGTGGGTTTGCATCAACTAACAAAAATTTTACTCTATCTTCAGGATTAGTTATAGAGTTGGGTATAATTTGCAGCAATGCGTCTCTAAAGCTCGGTAGATGGGGCAATAGAGGAGGTAATGTGTAAGATCCTCTTTAATTTTCATAAGGCAAGGGCATAAACGATGTTCTACTGGGGTTTTTGTGAATCTACCGGTCAGATATGCAGTTGGCAGTGTTTGAAACCGTGCCATAGTGAAAGCTCTCCGAAGGGTGGGGTCAGTGATCTCCACCAAGTAGTTGGCACAGATTTTGACTGCTTTTACTCGGGGAAACCAGTAGGAAAACCCAGAGTTTTTTATCTTTGTGGAGTCCAAAAAGGCGTCTTTTTCAAAGATCGAATGGCCAAATAATAAAAAGAAATTTTGGCTCAGCTTACAACCAGAGGCATACATTTCCTGTTCACCTTTTCTTTCTCCTTTCTATAAGCTATGCATCCTTGCCAGATGTATTTTCAGGGAGCTTAGGAATTTTATAGGCAGACTCTGTAGTTTTTAACTGATGTGTTTCTTTCCTGCTCATATGCTAGTATTACAATATGTATTTTATTTGTGTTACTATCAGGTGTTTTTTGTCACTATCCCCCGCCCTGAGATCATGTGAAGAAGGGTTTCCTCTTGTGGATTCTAACCTCACATACATAGGATCACAGGTTTGGAAGGGATCCATGAGTATCGTTCAGACTGACCCACCTCAAACCTATAACAATATAAAATAATGCCCTATTTGCTTTGATGGTTATAACTACAGTGGTACCTCGGGTTACAGACGCTTCAGGTTACAGATGCTTCAGGTTACAGACTCCGCTAACCCAGAAATAGTACCTTGGGTTAAGAACTTTGCTTCAGGATGAGAACAGAAATTGTGCGGTGGTGGCGCGGCAGCAGCAGGAGGCCCCATTAGCTAAAGTGGTGCTTCAGGTTAAGAACAGTTTCAGGTTAAGAATGGACCTCCAGAATGAATTAAGTTCTTAACCCGAGGTACCACTGTACAAGAAGCCTGTGTTTAGTGTTTTGGCTGGTGAATTCAAAGGCACACTAGCTAATTGTCAGTCTGCAGGAAGAACCTTGCTCTATCGTGTATTTCTCTCCTCCAATGCACCTTTTTTCTGTCACACATCTTTTCCCTTGTCCATCCCTTTCCATAGCATTTTCTGTCTCACTCCTGCACACATGCTGTGAGTGGGGCAGTGGGTGGCTTACAGCTTGCAATGGATGAATCTGTCAATTTCTGTTTCTCAGTTTCTAATTTCTTAAATCTTAAATTCACTTCTCCGCTCTTCTGCATCAGTTTAAGGTTTGTTTGTTTTTTAACAAAAAAATTACATCATGAACATTCATTTGTATCATAATTCGTTTTGGAGAAAGATCGTAAATTTGATGCTTCTTAAAAGTGGGAGAAGTTACGGTTACATTCATTTGCATTCTAGTGTGAATTTCTCCTAATGGACACATTCATGCATGCAATTTTGCCAAATATACACATGCAAGCAGCACTCCTTGAGAACATAACACAGGAAGAGCCCTTGGCCAAAGGCCCATCTAGTCAAGCATCATCTTCCCCACTGTGGCCAACCAAATAATAATAATAATAATAATAATAATAATAATAATAATAATATATGCCTTCCATCCAGAGGCATAGTTGGGGGGGGGGGGCTAGCCAGATTGTTTTGCCCCAGGTGAAGCCTCCAGCGGGGTGCCATTAAGGCTCCTAGCCTGTGTGTGTACGCATATGTGTGTTTGGTGCGTGTGCCAAACTGGGTCTTTGACCCTGGTGAAATAAAGCCTGGGTTCGCCCCTGTGCCCATCTGCCTGGATTGCCCAGCCACTCTAGGCAACTCCCAACAGAAAACATTAAAACCACAATACGACATCACACACTTAAACCTTTGGCCCCCAGTTGTGGTGGAGCTTCAAGCTCGGGGGGGGGGGCGAGAGCAGGCAGGGGCGCGGCTGGCATGCATCCCAGGGGGCGTGGCGCACCGCCTGCAGGGGCATGGCACCCAGCGCTGGATGAGGGGGCAGCCGCGATGGCACCCCAGCCGGATCGTACCACCAGGATCTTGCGCTCCCCCCCGCACCCTTGTTCCTTCACCAGTGGCCCCCAGACTGAGGAAGGTTCCCCAACCCCGATATAGAGGGTGCCCTCCTGAACACCCTCATACATCTGCGAAGCCCAGAAGCAGAACATGAATGCAAAAGCACCCTCCCACTGTGCTCCTGAGCAGCAGGTATTCAGAGGCATGCTGCCTGTGGTACTGGAGTTAATATACAGCCACCATAACTAGTAACCATTAATAACCTTATCTTTCATTAATTTCTCTAATCCTCCTTTAAAGCAAACCAAGCCCTTCATATATCTTATGGTATTGAATTCAAGGGGAATAATTCAATGTTGCACAAAGCCAATAGTTTCAACATTTGGGCTTTCCAGGAGGAATGATCTTCATTCTTTCCTCGCACGCACTGTTCGGGGGGGGGGGTGTTTCTCCTGGCACCCCTCAGTGACCCAATTTTGAGGCATGTGGATGGGAGCAGGGCAGGGAAAGCACCATTTAACAAGTAGAAGTTCTTGCATTGCTTCCACGGATGGGACTCTTTGTTGAATCCTGTTCCATGGTTTTAACTACCTTATTTTTTGCTCTATAAGACTCACTTTTTCCCTCCTAAAAAGTAAGGGGAAATGTGTGTGCGTCTTATGGAGCGAATGCAGGCTGTGCAGCTATCCCAGAAGCCAGAACAGCAAGACGGATCGCTGCTTTTGCTGCGCAGCGATCCCTCTTGCTGTTCTGGCTTCTGGGATTCAGAATATTTTTTTTTTCTTGTTTTCCTCCTCCAAAAACTAGGTGCATCTTATGGTCTGGTGAGTCTTATAGAGCGAAAAATACGGCATATGCTGTGTGAAGAAGTACTTCCTTTTATATCTTCCAATGTTTAGCTTCATTGGATAGCCCCAGTCTCTAGCATTAAAAAATACTAAGATACTCTCTTCACTTTCTTCACACCATGAAGCACATGTCTTTATACACGTCTATCACTTTCCACATCTTCTAAACTGAAAAACCCAAAATGATGTAACTTTTCTTCATAGGGAAGTTGTTCCACCCTCTCCATTGCTTGGGCTTTTCTGAAACCTTTTCAGTCCCCAATATCCTTTTTGATGTGTTGTGACCAGAACTGTACTGTATATCGTATTCCTAGTGCAGTCACATCATAGATTTGTATAAGGGCTTTATGATGTTGACAGTTAATCCATTTCCTAATGAGCCCAACACAGAATTTACTATTTTCATAACTGCTGCATGTTGGGGTTCAACATTTTCATTTAACCATCCACCAAGGCCTCGAAATTCCTGGTCAGTCACCCCCACTTCAGACTAGATTAGTATATAAGTGAAGTTATAATTTTTTTTCTCCAATGTGCAAAAGTTAGTTGTTTTTGCTTTAAGAAATAAAAACAAGATAATTACTAATTCCCATTGAAGTGTTCTGTGTCAACTTTGCACACCTGTATCAGTGAGCAACCTAGCACAGAGATGTGGATTTAACGTTGTTGGTTAGCCATGTAGTAAACAGTTGCATTATATGAGAATATGAGGGCTGGGGAAAGAAGCGGAATAATTTTTTTTAACTTATTACCTACACTACCCCAGCTCATAGAACATTCTCCAAAGGATCAAACAAGTGGGACAGTGACTGTTCTCATAGTAATCATTCTCATACCTATTAGAATACCTCAAGCAAAGCAATCCAATGGTGGCCACACGTGGAGGAAGCAACGCATCTCTCACTGGAACTATGCTACATTTCTGTGGTGATGCATACAATCATAGGATGTGGTGTTTTTTTGGAGGGGGGTTAACCTGTGTTTGTGTTGAAACATCACTGAAAAGTTGAGTGGTCCCATTGGCTCTTACAAAATTTGCTCCGTACAGCTGGGGCTACAAAGCTATCTGAATGGGGCCTTTTACCAGATTTGGATCTGGCCTCTGTGATACTGATCTCATAGACACTAAGGGCATCCATTTCCCACGTGCTTCATTTATTTTAGGCATTTGTACCCTGCTCTTGAGAAGCTTTCTAGAGAGGCTTACATAAAATCAAAACAAAACACTCCCTGCTTGTAGGCTTGCGGTCTTAAAAACACAGACACACAAGGGAAAAGCGACAAGGAGAGAAGAGAAAAAGCAAAACTCAGGCACCAATTTCTAGGCAGTTGTTCCTATATTGACTATTATTTTGTTCCATGTGGCTTTGTACATGGCCTTACCCATATGGAGAAGAAATACTTGTTAGGTGGTACACAGCCACTTCTGCAGTTGTAGCAGTAGTTTTTCCAGCCACTCACAGCTACAACTCTCACTATCCTGGTTTGCTACCTGGACCTAAGCCATGGTTTGGCTTAGCATGATGTCTAAACTTGGATTCCTGGGTTCCCTCACTTCAGTCAAGCTACAGGCTGTAGTCAAGGTTTGTTCTCTGCTTATCACTCATAGGTTTGTCTCAGTGGCAGATTTAGGTTTGAGGAGGCCCTAAGTTACTGAAGGTAATGGGGCCTTTATATGTCCAGCTGTCCTTTGTCAACCACAAATTGTCACTGTTTTTTGTGTTGAATATATGCTATATGGTAATTTATGGACCTAATAGGTCCATACACAACACAAACACTGTTGCTGTATGTAGGTTTTATTTTATTTGTTTTTTTCATCTTATATTTTGGAAACGTACATCCTTTAAATTTTTGGGGGCCCCCAAGAGAGTGGAGCCCTAAGCTATAGCTTGTTTAGCTTATACATAAATCTGGCACTGGTTTATCTGGGGGAGACAAGCAACATGCCCAAGTTTGCATGTAACACCAAACCAAACCATGGGTAAGCTCTGAGTAATGGAGCAGCTGCTGGACTGGAGGAGGAGTGAAATAGCTGCAGTTTTTGCTGTGAATACCAGCATGCTGTCTTGATCACGTACAGCCATAAGAACTGGGTCACTGTGTACTTTCTAAGCCACATTACATATTTTTCTACATGGCCATTTTGCATAAACCAGTGGTGTCCAAACGTTCTTCAAAGAGGGCCAGATTTGATGAAGAGAAGGGCCGTGGCTGCCAACCAAAGGGCCAACCAAAGTTGTTGACCTTTTTTTAGGATTGAAGTTGTTGAGCTTCTTTTAGGGTTGGAGTTGTTGAGTTTCTTTTAGGACTGGAGGTTTTTTTAGGATTTTACCCCAGGAAATAAACTGCCACAGGGACCGGATTAGGCCCCCGAAACAGACTTTGGACATGCCTGGCATAAACAAAATACAGTAAATGATGATTTTCAAAGGGTGTGTGGATTTTAATACCACCCCTTAGCTACTGTTTCTTTCTCTAGATTCCATAGAAAGTTTGACCCCATCTGAAAGGGATTATGAGAATGTTGTACCTCCCCATTTGCTGAGATGGCAACAACCAACCCCACAGCAAACACAGAAAGCAGATACAGGTAAGTGATTCTTAACAGCACAATAATGTCCATGGCCTCAATCTGGTTTGGGGATTGGGAAGAAGCCAATGCATGCGCTGTGGAAATGCCTGTGAGGTCTCACCCTATCACCCCATCCAAAGGGCCCACTAGAACCTGTTTAAATAATTGCTCACCTAGATCATTTCCAGGTAAATAAATAAACTATCCTATTGGGGGAGTTAAAGCCATATACTGGGGGAGTTAAAGCCATTCGTATAGTTAAAGCCATGGTTTTCCATTACTGATGTATGGAAGTGAGAGCTGGACCATAAAGAAGGCTGATTGCCGAAGAATTGATGCTTTTGAATTATGGTGCTGGAGGAGACTCTTGAGAGTCCCGTGGACTGCAAGAAGATCAAACATATCCATTCTTAAGGAAATCAGCCCTGAGTGCTCACTGGAAGTACAGACCGTGAAGCTGAGGCTCCAATACTTTGGCCACCTCATGAGAAGAGAAGACTCCCTGGAAAAGACCCTGATGTTGGGAAAGATGGAGGGCACAAGAAGAAGGGGACGACAGAGGACGAGATGGTTGGACAGTGTTCTCGAAGCTACAAACATGAGTCTGACCAAACTGCAGGAGGCAGTGGAAGACAGGAGTACCTGGCATGCTCTGGTCCATGGGGTCACAAAGAGTCAGACACGACTAAACGACTAAACAACAAATTAGGGGAGTAGGTTGATGCAGATCATGAGCTGAGTGACCACACCATGTTGACATCTTTCCAAGGCCTTCATTATTTTTAACCAATAGGATGTTTCGTTAAATGACTCACTGATGCTGATAGGTCAGCTTCGTGCAGAAAGGTAGAATGGATGTGTCCTTGAGCGATACACCTCCCTTAAACTAAGGCTGTGTGCACACTGTACCTTTATAGCACATTCAAAACATCATTTTCATATAAGCAGCATTTTTTTTTCTAGACAGAATGGTGCTGGAACGTACCTCCCTCAGATGACCCACCCCAGAAGCCCTCCTTCTCCTGCTTTGATCAAACACCATCTATTACAGATCATATATCAGGATGCCTGGTGCTTATCTGCCTGCTGTACACACTAGGCTCATCTGTCCTTTCAGAAGGATTGAGCCTAGAAGACAAGGAAATTGGTGGTCTGAGGCACCACTTAACAGGCCCATGGAGAGTTTGTCTGAGGCACAGGGCAGGATTCTTGATAGAATAAAACTATAAACAAAAAAGCAGCCAGTCCCTGCCCACCCCACCTTCAGCTGGCTTAGGCCTCCGAGGCCCAGGGCAAGTATACCCACCTGTGTCCCTCCCTCTGCAGGGGCCTGTCAATATACATTAGGGGGGTTCACCCCAAGTATCACCCTCCACCACCCCACCTCATCTTTGAACTACAGATCCCACCATCTCCCATCCACAGCAGGTGTAGTGGGGGGAGGAAGTGGGCTGCACTTAAGCATGTCATCTCATATACACATGCCTTTTACATATGTACAGGTCACAGCTGGCCCCTTACTCTGTGATACCAGCTATTTCTCTGTGTGTGCTATAATAGTCACTCTTATTGGTTATCTGCAGGTATGCCCACACCCACCAGATTTACTGATCATACGGACTGCTGTTGTCGGAGAGCTTCTATCGTCACCCTCTACATCTTGGTGTTTATTACCCTGTTAATAGCGTCAGCTGCCTTTGTGCTGGCCTTTCTGAAATGTAAGTTCAACAGAGGACCCGGAAGGGCACATCATCCTATGCCGCTGGTCATTTTAGTCCAAACATTCTCAAACTTTATACTGTGAGAGGAACTGTTAATGTGCCACAGGAAACAGACTAAAAAAAATAGGATTCCTGCTAGCCTAAAGTACCCACTCCCAGAGGAGGAAGCCCACTGTGTTTCCTCATTTTGTACAGTTCTTGCCTTCTTCCATTCAACCCCACCAGAATGGGGCGAGTCATGTTACCACACCTTTCTGCATTGTCTGATCAGTCACTGCTAATGCAGCAGGCCCAGAGCCACTCAGATGGAAATGCAGCAGTCGGGCTTCTTGCGTGGGTAAAGGAAGTTCTCACTTTTAGCATGCTCATGTATGGACCCTTCTTGGATGTGAGAATGAAATGTACCTTCAGCTTCTCTCCAGAAAAAAGTGCACTTATCAGAAGTTCATGAGGCATTGTACTAATTGATGTTAGGGCAAAAGGTGTGTTGTGAGGAGGAGTGGAGAAAATGTGGCACCCTCTTGGTTCGGCACCCAGTGTGGACAAACCGGTTGAGTACCCTTAAATCCGCCTCTGTCTGTGGCCTTCCTGATGCTGTTGGCCTCCAACCTTTGTCAGCCCCAGCCAGCATGGCAAGTGGTTAGGGTGATGGAAGTTGTACTCTACTAGCATCTAGAGGGCCACAGGTTCACCATCTCTGATACACAGAATCAAAGCCTTTTGCTGTGGGCAGCTGATGTGGTCATTTCCTGATGTGATTTTCATGGGACTATTGTGTATGTGAGAAGTTGTCAAGCACCAGTTGATTAAATATTCAAATACAGATTTGGCTCTTTTAGAGGATAGCTAGCTGCCTTGGGTTTCTGAGGATAGTTCAGCTATGTTGCTGTAGCACCGGCATGTACACTGGAAGAACAGTAGCCAAGTTGTTAGAGGGGAAATGGTGTTAGGAGCTCTACAGCCCAAAGGAATAGAGGAAAGACAGGGCTGAATTATAGGTTAAATCCACAGCCTGTTGTGACGATCCATGGGCAATGGATCAAAACCTTATGTACTCTCTGCTGGGCTGGGTAGAATACATTTGTAATATATAAATGTGCAAATATCCACAGCATTAAACACTGAACAGTATAGAATGGGGAGCCCAGTTTTGGATGGATGTGTATGACTAGCAAGCTATGCTAAGATCTGGAGCTTTCATGATTAGTACATAGAATCGTTTCAGTACCATGGTTTCTTATCCCAGGGCTCTGTGTGTTTCAGTTATTCCTCAGTGTCCAGGGGACTTTCAGAAGTATCAAACAAAGTGCCTTTACATCTCCACTCATAAACATACCTGGGCAGAGGCACGGAGGGACTGCAGTAGGCGAAGTGCGCCCCTGGCAACGGCTGAAGCGGTGAGCATTGGTGAATTTCCTGGAACTAACCTTGCATAGAGAATTAATTAGATTTCAGTGATGCAGGACACACACACACACACACACACACACACACACAAACTGTTCTTCCCATTCTTGATCCTCATAGTTTTCTGTGATGGTCCATCTGCTACTCAGTTTCTTTACTTAACTCTATTCCTAGGTACAGTAGTGGCATACAATTGCAGCCTCTTATGTACCATGTGTGACCTTTCCCCTTCCCAGAATTTTACTCAGATTCTCGCTTCACAACTTTCTCCTGCCATTTGTTTCCTGAACACTGCCAAATGTGCTGAAGGCACCTCATTGGCCACTGTGGGATGTTGAACCCAACAAAGAAGAAATATGTCCCAACCCAATCACCCACAACAAATGAGATCTAAATATCAAAATTATACAAAATAGAATAGTATGAACTAGTTATATAAAGCAACTTTATATCACAAATAAGAACAAATTCAAGCTGAGTGCTAATCCACACTTCTGCTTGGAGTATGACTTCCCTTGATCTGGACAGTATAGTTCTGTTGATGTAGCCTAGAATAGCATTAGCTGTTTTTTGTTGTTGTTGTTGCTGCTGCTGCTGCTGCTGGCTCATGTTAAGCTGTTGTCTACTAAGACCTGTGGATACTTTTCATATGTACTACAGTGGTACATCGGGTTACAAATGCTTTGGGTTACAAACACTTCGGGTTACAAACTCTGCTAACCTGGAAGTAGTACCTTGGGTTGAGAACTTTGCCCCAGGATGAGAACAGAAATCACGCACCGGTGGCACAGCAGCAGCGGGAGGCCCCATTAGCGAAAGCGCGCCTCAGGTTAAGAATGGTTTCGGGTTAAGAACGGACCTCCGGAACGAATTAACTTTATAACCCAAGGTACTACTGTACTGGCAAGCCAGGTGTCCCCCATCTTATATTTGTGCAGCTGATTCTTCCTGTCTAAGTGTAGAAATTTACATTTGAGCCTATTGATATTAATTATGTTAGTTTGGGCCCATCTTGAATCCTTTTTTTTTTTAAAAAATAATTTTTTATTAAGGTTTTGAACACAGAAAACAGAAAAACAACACACACAGAAAAAACAATACAAAATTTAACAATAAAAACACAAAACGTAACAATTAAAAACAAACTCTCTTTTCTATTCCCAATTTTACATTACTTATTTTCTAGACTTCCTCATACCTCCCTCTTTTGTATTCCAATCCACATTATTTGTCCAGCAGTTTCTTTTCCACTTTTTAAACCCAATCTTTAATTTAATAAAATGTTAAAATATATAACTTCTACTTTTTTTAAACCTAAACCTTATTCTTAATGTCATATACCTTTAAATTTTTCCCTTTTATTATCAAATTTCCATTTCTTTAAACATCTTTAATCATGATCTTTAGTCTTAATCTGTCCTTAACTTTAACCTGTACAGCTGGAAACCACTTATTTTCAATCCAACATCGCTCTAACATTCCTTAATTTTGCAGTGTTTCTGAAGATAGTCTTTAAATTTCTTCCAATCTTCCTCCATCGACTCTTCTCCCTGGTCACGGATTCTGCCAGTCATTTCCGCCAATTCCATATAGTCCATGAGTTTCATCTGCCATTCCTCCAGCGTGGGAAGTTCTTGTGTCTTCCAATACTTTGCGATAAGTATTCTTGCTGCTGTTGTCGCATACATAAAGAAAGTTCTATCCTTTTTTAACACCATTTGGCCCACTATGCCCAGGAGAAAGGCCTCTGGTTTCTTAGGAAAGGTATACTTAAATACCTTTTTTAATTCATTATATATCTTTTCCCAGAAAGCCTTAATCTTTGGGCACGTCCACCAAAGGTGAAAAAATGTACCTTCAGTTTCTTTACATTTCCAACATTTGTTATCGGGCAAGTGATAGATTTTCGCAAGCTTGACTGGGGTTATGTACCACCTGTATATCATTTTCATAATATTCTCTCTTAAGGCATTGCATGCCGTAAATTTCATACCTGTGGTCCATAACTGTTCCCAGTCAGCAAACATAATGTTATGTCCAACGTCCTGTGCCCATTTAATCATAGCCGATTTTACCGTTTCATCTTGAGTATTCCATTTCAGCAGTAAGTTATACATTCTTGACAAATTCTTAGTTTTGGGTTCTAACAATTCTGTTTCTAGTTTGGATCTTTCCACCTGGAAGCCAATTTTCCTGTCCAATTTAAATGCCTCCATTATCTGATAATAATGAAGCCAGTCTCGCACTTTGTTTTTTTAGTTTTTCAAAACTCTGCAATTTCAGTCTATCTCCGTCTTGTTCCAAGATTTCCCAATATTTCGGCCATTTGACCTCCATATTGACCTTTTTCAAGGCTTTCGCTTCCATCGGTGACAGCCACCTTGGGGTTTTGTTTTCTGGGCCCATCTTGAATCCTGATTCTGCCTTCTGTGGCATTGGCTCCCCTTCCCAGTTTGGTGTCACCTGCAAATTGGATGAGCATCCCCTTAATTCCTTCATCTAAGTTGTTTATAAAGACGTTGAAGAACCATGGGCCCGGCACAGAACCCCATGGCAACCCACTTGTCCCTTTTTTTCCAGGATGACGAGGAACCATTAGTGAGCACTCAGTCAGTCAATCTCATTTAGTTTGTTAAATTAGAGGTGCAGTTGCTATAGTCCAGAGCTATCTCAGAGGTCCTAATTTGGAGGGTAACTTGCAGTTCCTTTTTAGTGCTGCTTATACTCTTCTGGAGTGAGGGGGAGGGCAAAGAGCAGACTCTGATCTGACCTTTCCTGTTTTCCGAAGACAGTTCAGAAACTTCAGCAAGTGCAGAATTCAGCAGCTAGGTTGCTCACCAGAGCAAGATGGTTTGAGCATATTACTCCGATCCTGGTCTGACTGCACTGGCTACCAGTTAGTTTCCGGGCCCAATTCAAGGTGCTGGTTTTGACCTATAAAGCCTTAAACGACTCAGGATCACAACACCTCAAGGACCGTCTCTTCCCATATGAAACTACCTGGACCCTGAGATCATCTTCTGAGGCCCTTCTTCATGTGCCTCCACCTTGAGAGGTCAGGAGGGTGGCAACATGAGAACGGGCCTTCTCTACAGTGGCTCCCCATCTGTGGAATGCTCTCCCCAGGGACGTTCGCCTGGCACCTTCATTATATACCTTTAGGTGCCAGGCAAAAATGTTTCTTTTTAACCATGCCTTTGGTTGAGCTGATTGACATCCTATGCGCTTTTAAAATGTGGCTCTCTTATGGGGGGATGTGTTATTGGGTTGTTGTTTTTATTGTGGTTATATATATATATTGTGGTTTTTATGTTTATCTTTTCTGTGAACCACCCTGGAACCTCCGGGTATAGGGTGGTATATAAATTCAATAAAATCATCATCATCATCATCATCATCATCATCTCTCCTTAGATCAAGGAGTTTAATCTGAACCTTGGAAATAATTCTCAATACTGGGTTGACAACCCTGAAGGAGAACAGAATAAAGTGACTGGCAGGTAAGTAAGCTTCATTTACTGCTGTTGGCCTCCTCTCCAAATTCCTATCTGCTCACAAGAATTTTATGACCACATGAAGCTGCAAATGTGTGCTGCACTTTTCAAAAGAGAACATTATGAAATCAGCTGACAAGGGTCACATCATGGGCTGTAGGTATCCATTAAGCTCCAGAAGAGAGAGAGAGACAGAACGAAGACCAGTGTGGGCTAGGTAGAGCAATTATATGAATGCCAATGTATACAACCTTTAGTTTGTGTGATGAATTCACCACAAGTTTATTTTCCCCAGAGATCCTGGGAATGCTGCATCATGTACAACACAAGATTCCATCTCAGGGCCCATCCTGCTTCTTGTCCTGTGCCTAGAAAACATGGCTCTGAGTTATTTTCTGCTGGTCCCTTGCTTTCTAGGCATAAATCTAGTGGTTTTGCCTTTGCCCCGCCACTTTTCCCCAGAAAACCTGCTCTTTAGCTCTAATTCAGAGCAAGCAGAAGTATGGCTGAGCCGTCAGTATATCTCAGTTTTCTTGAGAAACCCTACTAGTGTGGGTTAAGCCCTGGATATGGCAAGTTGTAATTTTGACTAACCAAAGCGCTCAGAAAGCTGGTCCGTCATATCAGAATTCTCCAGAGGAGACTATATATGGAGAAATTATCACATTAAAAATACTGAGAACCAAGCCTTTAGGTGGGCACCGAATGTTATTCGAGAGATGACAAACCTACCAGTGCTTCCCTAAGTAAATTGTCACACTAGGTACTGTAATTGTTCCTACCTCTGATGTTTCTGTAGGAACTTAGAGAACAGACCTGTAAAGGTTAAGGGGTTCAGTGTCAATCGAAACCCCCAAACTGATAGGCTGTCACCACTCCTGTTAACAGTCCACCCCCAACTCAGACCTGGGAGATGCCAGACTCCTGCAAGATTCCAGGAAATAAGAACTAAAACGCTACTCTCTGCTGTGTGTAGCCTCCAGCAGAACAAAACACTTACATGTTAGCCCAGTGTGACCAAAGAGATCTAAGGCACCAGTTTAGATCAAGGCAAGTTTCCAAACAACCACATAAAAGTATAGCATATATTGAAGATTTCTAAAATAGCAGAATGAGAACCCTGTTAACCAATTAGAATGAGAGATTTTACAGTTGGTAGGAAGTGCTGATCAGTTAGGAAGGGGATTGGCCAACCAAAGGAAGCCAGTTCTCCTTGATATCACATCATTGAGGCTTATCATATCCACCAAGGGAAATTTTATCATTAGCATTTGCCAACAATCCAGTGAGGTGTGACAAGGTGTGTGAATGGAGCCAACCTCCTTCTGATGTTTCATGTCAGATGGAGAGCAGTGGTGGTCCATCTTCTGTGTGTGTGATGCTTTCGACATGGGTTGTTCTCTCCTAGGCAATGGAGTACAGGGTTTCTAGATGTAGATGTAGATTCTCCTAAAGTGATTGAGAGGGGGAGAGACTGGATTTTTTTGTTACCTGTGCAGTGAATCAGCATATTCAACACCCAATAAATCCTTCATCCGGACCTTCCTTTAAGGTCACTTCCACCCTATTTTCACTGGAATTGACCTCCTTTGTTCACTAATTTTTTATGTGTAAATTTCATTTGTAATGACAGCCCATGTGAGCTCCTCTGCTGTCTTCCCAATTTATTCAGACCTGATAAGGGCCTCTTTTTGTTGTAAAATACAATTGCAGCACCAGTCTGTCTAGTGTGGACTGGCAAAGTACTATGGAGAGTACTTTTGAGTTATTGTACCTTTTTAATTAGTCACATCCTCCTAATTAGTTGATTCCTTTTCAGTCACTATGGCCATGACTTTCATGAATTGTCCTTCATAAGTCATTTCCTGTTCCCTGCAAATTACAGGAGTGGAGGAGTTTATTGTCGTTAATTGGTTGTATTTATGTTAGACACTTTGAGTGTTTCATTTTGGAACTGGAGAGCTCAGATGGAAATGCTCCAATAAAATGAATTAGTAATATATAGTGGAACTTTGCCCAATGAAAACAGCGTTATCTAAAGTGTCATGTTTTAATTCTGCTTCCAACTGATTGCAGAAAGGCAATGAATGCCTCACCAGTGCTAAAGGGTCCTGATCAGTTGAAAGCAATCTACGTGTCCTTGTGTGTTCCTTAACTGACACTTGTAGAATTGGGTCATTCTTTCCCAGTAAAAATGAAGCATGTTATTCTTTCTTTATAGAACTCGGAAGACAGAAAATGAAAATTGTACATTTGTCTTCTGGAAAAACAATACGATTGCTCCTTCACAAACTTCTTGCACCCATCCTTTGCATTACATTTGTGAAAAATATCAAGCATAAGAAACGATATATTTCCATGTTACTTTGTAAGCTTTATATTGTCATTTGTGAAAAATTACGGCATGTAGCTGTAATGTGCTCGTCTATGTATGTGCTCTGTTCATAGTTTCAATGTACGGCGGACTTTGCACTTCTATGGCCGGTTGCACAGGAATATGTCTCACATGGCTGTTATAGTGCTATGGAAGTATATCTCCAGAGCAGAAACAAAACAGCCAATTTTGAGGTGGGCAAACAGCTGAGAATGGTCTTTTTTTAATTTGGTATAACACTAAAGAGCAGGTGTGTCTGCTTGCAGCGACCAGCTCTTGGTCTTCTTGTGTGTGTTTGTGCAGAGACTTTGCATCTTGTCTTCCACCACATCACTGTTGGGGGCAGAAATGGATCATGCTCTGAAAACTGAAAAAAGAAAGAAAAGGAAGTAAACAGGAAATGGGAAGGGCGAGAGAGAGCATTAAATATGGCTTTAAATAGCACAAGCATGTTACGAGAACAAGGGAACAGCAAACTGAAAAACAGTTCCAAAAGTGGATTTCAGCCAGAAAAAAAGGATGTTAGAAATGTGCCTCAGTAATAAGAGGGAAATCAGAGAAAATTGCCTCGCTGCTCATCTGGCAATGTGAACTAATATTGAAAATACGAAAGAAGAAAGAGGAAAAAGAGGACAAATGTTCAGTGCTGGCTTTGATTCAGCCTTTCTAAAGTTCAGGATATGACTGGATGATTATGCAAACGTGTAAAAATAAGGGAAGGCAAAGAATGAAAATGAAAATACAGAAGAAGAAGCTCAAATTATACTTACCTGATTTCAAGGAATTGAGCTGAGCCTAAAGTAATACACTGTTGTGTATGGAACTTGCTTGAGAAATGCTGAGTTAAAGATAGACAAATCTCACAGTTTTGGTTTCTCCTCATTTCAATTTTTTCCAATCTTAATTCACCCTTATTTCTGCATCAGTTTGTAAATATTTTTAAAGTTCATGAAAAATTATTTGCATTTTCCTGTGCTTTTCTCCTGATGTGTTTTGGATGCAGTTGTGCCCAGCGTATGCATTTTTGCCAGCATATTCCCTAATATGCTATTATCACTAACACATATTTTTAATGTCTGCATTCTTTTACATACTGTTGTTATTGTTGTTAGAGAACTGCATCACAAAAGTGCAAATTTCAAAGGGTAGCTGTGTCTTGTGCTTGTGTACTGGGTCTAGAAGTCTGGATTGGGTAGATTTACTTCAGTATCCAAAGTTTGATCTTCGCCCTTCAAACTAGGTCAAATTACAAATGCAAACACTTCTTGACTGGCATAAACTGAGAAGTATTTCAAATGAATAAGATAGTAGCAATAACGATTGGATTCTGAGTACACTGGTACCTTGGTTCTCGAACCCAATCTGTTCTGGAAGTCCGTTCGCAAACCAAGGCATGGCTTCTGATTGGCTGATTGGCCCTGGAAACAATGCCAACAGCCGAAATGGACGTTCGGCTTCCAAAAAACGTTCGCAAACCGCAACACTTACTTCCAGGTTTGCGGCGTTTGGGAGCCGATATGTTTGGGATCCAAGCCGTTTGAGAACCAAGGTACCACTGTATTTCACAATTCACTGAATATCATCTTTGCAGATGTTATTTGGAATCAAATTTTGTAGATCTGTGGGTAAACCACACACAAACACACAGCAGTCCCTGTGAGTGAGCACATTTATGTGTCCCGAAAGAGAGAGGATCAGACAGCTGAGACTTTGTAGATGGAGTTCAGCTGTGGTGATGGAAGCTGCCAAAGTTTCTCTGGGGATCTGCCTGCTGATGGAGTGTCTATTTGCTTCCAAAAGGCTCTGCTTATATATCACTTCTAGCTGCAGGCAGGTGTTGCATACCAACAAAACTGTAGCCGAAACAAGGCCACTGGGGAACAAGCTGGAGGTATCAGCATACTCATGGAAACCCTAAGTTTTCAAAGTAGGGGGAAAAACCTAAGAAAGTGGAACACCACCACCTTTCATAAAAAAACCACACCAATGAAGACTGGGCATGCCCACTGGCCATATGAAAAAGGGAATGGAGTATGATGGGAAGGGGCATAGATCTGTGGGTCACCAAACAGGAGCATTTTGCACAGCAGAACTTTTTCTCAAATGTTCAAGGAATGGTAAGTCTTCAATGCTACCTCATCCAGAGGGAATTAAACCCTGTAGGACTGTCCTTGATGTCTTGCCACTTAGGGAAGTGGTGCCATGCACTCATGACAATTTTTTTGAGGTACTTGGAAAAAACCGTTCAGTGTGGGTGGTAAATGTTTCTAAGGAAATCAGTTCATATTGCATAATTGCCTACCAAGTTTTAAGGAAGTGAGAAGAGAGGTGGTTAAAAGTTACAACAGATACCCTAGTTGGATCCATTGTCCTTCTTTGTTCTCCTTCAGTAGAGTTTCTCCTGTTCTTCCAGCTAGCTAACCATCCCAAATCTGTTTGCCAAAGCCCACGACCTCCCCTCTGCTTGTCTCAGGTGGCATTGCTCTGGACTGCTTAGCTCCCTGAAGAATGGATTATTATCAGTAGTTTCATGAACAGGAACACCACCAGTTGAATTGCTGTCTTAACAAAATGTCCCTTGCCTTCACTTGTTCTAAAATAATAGGACTAAAGGTAGGGGCTGAGTTCAGCAAAGGTGCTTTCTATTTCCAGCCCGTTTTAGTCACTCACACCCTACGCTCAAGCACCATTTGGCATACTGGAGTCCTTGACCTAATTTCCCTGTCATCAGAAGGGATAGGCATTGTTCCTGAACCTCATCCACCTTTTGTTGCCTTGGAAACCATGACAGCTAGCAGTCATATTTGCTAATGGAAGGTCATCTGCCTTCTGAGTTGGACTGGTAGACAGTTTTACTAAAGGCATACTGTGAAAGTCCGCCATTTCAAGGTTCTGTATCGGGTAGAAGAAGAGACTTCAGGAGAAGGGCCAAGATTAACACCAACGTTTAGTCTAATCCTAGCCTATATTCAATATTAAATTGGGGTGGGGAGACCCCATTGACCATGAAACATTAGCTGACGATTCAACTATTCATGCCTACTTCTAATAGACCCATGGCCTTTAAAAAGATGTGATTGAGTCTGGCTCTGGAGCAGTTCTAAGCTTAAATGTTCCTTAATACCAATTTCATTCTATATCTTTTAAGTTTATGAGGCTGCTGTGAGACAGCCTCTATTTAAAGGGCCTATGAAGGGAGAGCAGAAGAGCAGAAGGGGCCATGACTTTGTCCGTCAATGGTTATTACAAGTGCTTTTTTTCAAGAAAATAGGTGCTATTTTCAAGAAAATAGGTTCTCACCATGAAGTTGTTACAGTAAGTTGCTGCTCGACAACCCTGAACAGATGCTGGTTTGACAACAGCTTCGTTCACCGCAGGCAGAGGAGTGAAAAACTAGGGCAAGCTGTCTCCCTAGCTAATTTTTGGGTCACCCCTGGTTCTGGTGCAGGTCAAATAAATGTGCCCCTGCCAGTGCCAGAGCCAGTGTGGTGTAGTGGTTAAGAGTGGTGGACTCGTAATCTGGTGAACCAGATTCATGTCCCTGCTCCTCCACATGCAGCTGCTGGGTGACCTTGGGCTAGTCACACTTCTCTGAAATCTCTCAGCCTCACTCACCTCACAGAGTGTTTGTTGTGGGGGAGGAAGGGAAGTACGTAAAGGCAAGAAGCAGGCAGGGGAGAGCTGTCCCTCAATGGCACCCAACTGAGAGGTGCCGGAACTGTGTTCCAGCGCACTCTGGCTGAAAAAATGCACTAGTTTTTACCTAGGCAGCAGACTGAGCAGGCACATAGGTAACCTGGGTGAGAGGCATTGTCTTTCTTTCTTTCTTTCTTTCTTTCTTTCTTTCTTTCTTTCTTTCTTCCTTCCTTCCTTCCTTCCTTCCTTCCTTCCTTCTTTTTAATTGGATTAGTCCAACACAAAAAGGAGAGAAGCAAGATAAAGAAAAACAGTATACAACAAAAGGTGAGTAAGCACAAACCTTTCAGTTGTGTACAGAGATTGTGCAAAGCAATGGGTCAGTACATCTGGCTGTTAACCAGAGGTTTGGTGGGTAGGATTGCTGCATTACAGGGGGCTGGACAAGATGACCCTCAGGGTACCTTCCAAATCTACAATTCTATAATTCACAATGTAGGGATTCTTGTCATTTGGAAACATTTAATTTAGGCTTGAAAGACAAATACCCAGAAGAACTAGCAGGTGAGCAATAGGTTCTATTGCTATGAGAGAGAGAGAGAGAGAGAGAGAGAGAGAGAGAGAGTCAGGGAAGACCTTCATCTTGGTACTGGGCATTAGCATCACATTCTCCCATACCCTTCTGGAGAGGCAAGCCATTGCCATAACTGCATTGCCAATACACAAGTCCCGCTTAGTGTCAATGGAGAGGTTGCTGGTTATGGTGGAACCCACGTAGACAAAATTGTCTGTTAGTATAATGCCCAATCAAATGATGTCAAGAGTCATTAATGTTTCCATTTACAGGCAAGCAAAAATCATAAAAATCGACCAAACAGCTGCAAAATTCTCTGGTTTTTTGTTGTCGTCGTCCTCCCCCCCCCCCGACTCTTAGATGGTGCCTGAGTTTTTCCAAGACTGCAATGTGCAGAGCTTCCCTAAGCCAATTATTCACTGTGATGTTTGAGGGATCCTTATACCCCTGGGCCACTATGAGCTGAGCAGCCATTAACAGATAGCTAATAAAGAGTTTCAGCACGACAGAGAAGTTACTGCCTTTGAATATAGGTAGGAGGCACAAAGCCAGGTCTGCCTGTACCACATTACCAATAGTAGTGCTAGTTTCTGCTATTACATTGGACCAGAAAGTGCGAACTGATGGGCAGGGGCACCAAAGGTGCCAATATGTCCCTATGGCTCCACAATTACACCAACATAACTTGTTACCTGGTTTCTAAAAATGATCCCCATCCATGCAGGCATGAGAAAACAACTGTGAATTATTTTCATTGAATTTTCTGTAATGGTGGTTGAAACTGAAGACAATTGTTTTGAGGGCCAGATCTTACTCCACCTTAACCATATTAATTTCCTCTCCCAGGTCTTGTCCCCCAATGGAGTTCACACTGGAGAGCCAGTGTGGTGTAGTGGTTAAGAGCGGTAGACTCGTAATCTGGTGAACCGGGTTCACGTCTCCGTTCCTCCACATGCAGCTGCTGGGTGACCTTGGGCTAGTCACACTTCTCTGAAATCTCTCAGCCCCACTCACCTCACAGAGTGTTTGTTGTGGGGGAGGAAGGGAAAGGAGAAGGTTAGCCACTTTGAGACTCCTTCGGGTAGTGATAAAGTGGGATATCAAATTCAAAATCTTCTTCTTTTTCTTCTTCTTCTTCTTCTTCTTCTTCTTCTTCTTCTTCTTCTTCTTCTTACCACACAATGAAGGATATAAAAAGTTTAAGGTTTTGCATGACTTTCAGGGACTGTCCCCTTAATTTGAGTGGCTGGCAGTGTTAAAATGTGTTCAAAATGCATTTAAAATGGAGATGAAATCTGGATAATATGCACTGTATTTCTGTTTAAACTGTAGTCATTATTTCCAAATTTGCATCTCTACACATCCTCTTCTACATGCAAATTTAGAAATAATGACTATAATTTAAACAGAAATACAATATACCTCCGCCATAGTTAGGAAGTCTACAAAACTGGGCTCTCATTATTATTCTTTTCCAGTTAATGCACTTCCTTGATGATATGAAAGTGGCCTCCGTAGTTATTGCCTGTATAATTCTATTCTTTTTACTGTACTATTCTGCTTTTACGTTTCGGTTCCGTTATTCCTTTTTTAATGTGTTTAAAGAAGAAGAAGAAGAAGTGTTGTATAAACTGCCTTGAAAATGAAAGTTCAGACATAGGCTCTAAATATTTTATAAACATGCAAATAAACCACTTACTGGCTATAGGAAATCAGGTACCTGCACCTTTAGTTGTTTTGGAATACCTTCTCTGTGGGTTGCAAAGATGTTAGGCACATTAGCCAAGCAAAGTGAGGAGCTTTGCAAGCTACAGAGAATATGCTCCAGGACAACCACAGGCACATGTTTCCAATCTCCTGTTCATGTAATCCCTACGGTTCCTTGTTTCTGACTGGGCTACTGACATAATCCCACTTCTACGCATGTTTTCTTATAAGTCAGTCCTACTGAATCTAATGCACACTCTAAGTAAGTGTGCATAGGATCTTATACTTAACCACTGTGATAACTAACAGTAACAGCTAGTGCCCATTAGAACTGGCAGGACAGAAGGCAGAGAGAGTAATAGTAGGTGGAGCCAGGGCCAATGACCAGTGTAGCGAACCAGTTCTAGTACTTCCCTCTTCCTCCTCCTTCCTGCTGATTTATACAAGGGGCAACAGGAAGCTGATGAACAGAAACAGATGCACATATATGCACTCACGAAACCCCACATGGATTCTTGCTAGTCTGCAAAAACCATTTCCTTCTCCATAGAACCTGCAGCACAGTAAGGAGGTCGACTAGGGTTGCCATATTTCAAAAAGTAAAAACCAGGACCACCCAAAACGGTTGAGCTTCTTTAAAGGAAAACCCTCATGGCAGCCCTAAGGTTGACTACTTACATCTTAACAAAGTGTTGACAATGGCTACATAAAAGCAGTTTTTCTTTGGGCACCAGTGTGCTTAGTTTGGACCTTTTTAAAATGTGCATTCCAGATTAATTGGGTATTAACAGCACAATCCCAGGCATTTTTACTGAGAAGCCTCACTGAGTTCCCATCATAGCTGTCAACCGTCCCTTATTTGGCGGGAAACTCCCTTATCCCAGCGCCGTGTCCCACTGCTGTCCCTTATTGATGATGTCCCTTAAATTTCCCAGGTTTCAAAGTAAGCAGCTCCTCTCCCTCCCTCCCTGCCGGCCAGGGAGGAGGGAGGCTCCAACTGTGTTGCCTGGCTGCCCGGTCCGCCCCCCTCCAGCCTTCTCTCACCAGCCTCGGCCCCTGGGAGCCCCTTCCCGCTGGGACTGGCGGGAGCCTCGGGCCCTTCTGCCACCATCCTCCTCGCGGCCGCCAAACTGAGCGTCTCTGCCTGGGGCCTCCCCTCTGCCCCCCGCCGCTCCCACTAGGCCGTACTGTGGCTGCGCCACCGAAGGACCCAGATGAGATGGGCAGCCTGGCACGGCCTATGAATTGCTGAGGAGCCTTGAGAGGAGAGTGAGGGCAACTATAGAGAAAGCAGTTCAGAGAGAGGAGGTGGAGGCGGAGGCGCGGGCAGGTGTTCCAAGGGCTAACCATAGAAAGGGAAAGTGGAGGAAGGACCTCAAGCGCTTTTCCCATAGATTTGTAGTGGTAGACTAGCATAGATGGTCTGATCTGTGGGTTTACTTCGGGCGCTATTTCCCCCCCCCCTTCCTCCCGCCCCACCTGATGGAACTGAGAGCTGCAGATGGAGCACGAGAGAAAAGATACAGAACTGCAGCAGCATCTTCGTAGCTTGGACTTCGTTTTGCATGAGAAGTGGCTGCTGCTTGTAGTTATTTAATTGCAGTGTTTCATCAGCTGGTGTCTTGAGCAGCAACCTCTGGAAATGAAGGGCTAAAAACCAGCACTGCTCTCCAAAATTATCTGGTCCCTATTAACTTTGTATTTCAGCTGGTTGACTAAAATCCCTTATTTTGGCTGCTGATCCCTTATTTTCGAGGCTGCTGGTCCCTTATTTTCAAATCTGTAAGTTGACAGCTATGGAAGTTCCCATATAAGCAACAGGACTGCAGACTGAAACATCAACCAGTAGGTGGCCCTTGAGAACACAGAACAATGTGCAGAATGAACCCACCAGGAGGAGCAATAGCTGTTGATAATGTAATTTTCCAGAACTTCGGGTGAAATTATTGTGGCTGCTGCTCACTTCAACCTGCCTACGCAACACCTCCTAATGAGAATGACGAGAAGGAACATTTTGTGCTTTTTGACCTCTGGATTATCCCATCTTCATGGCAGGAGAAAGGTGAAACATCTTAAAAGGAGGTTGCTACTATCTAATGTCTGTCTGCAGTGGTATGGACAATGGAACCTATGCTGCTGGCCCTGCGGCAGTGTGGTGTAGTGGTTACAGTGCTGGATGAGTAGAACCTGGGAAACACAGGTTGTAAATGTATTTAAGCCTCGGAGGAAATGCAGTTTGAAAAAGCTTTATTCTTACATTTGAAGGTCCAGGATAAATCCAAGATGGAGTGCCAAACACAAAACCATGTTTTGAAGAAGGCAGAGTACACTCATGTTATCCACTCCACAAACACAAAAAGAGAGGCTTGCTTCTGCTAATCTTGTGGCATAGCACTTCGGGTCAGATTCCTGCATCATTTAAGTTAAAACTAAAATCCACACTCAGACCTTCCCCCAAGGCATTATTACTGTGTATCGATGAACTAAAGTCTTAGTGTTCTGGTTTTTGTATTGAAATAACCACAAATTTCTCTCTGTGAGACCCTTGGTGGCTTACAGGTCATCTTGCTCTACGTCTTTGTCCTTCTCGGCATCCTTTGGCAGTGCAGACCAGGCAGAATCGTTCATGACAGAAGCCAGGTCAGGCGAAAGGGTTAAGTTCCCTCCATGACAAATTTCACTTCCGCATTGCGGCAGCCTGAGTGCACGCCATTGTCCCCAACCCGCTGCCGGAACAGGAAGGGGAAAGCCTTCTTGAAGGATTTGCGGAAGCTGTCTCCCATGAAAGCATAGACAATGGGGTTGAGAGACGAGTTGGCATATGACATGCAATTGGCCCACGTCTTGATCTTGTAGGTCTCATAGTTGGCCTGGAAGTGGCGGTAGAAGCCCTGGAAGAGCAAGTAAAGCTGGATAGGACCCCAGCAAATGGTGAACAGCAGCACAATCACCACCACCATCTTGGAAATCTTGGCCCTCATGGCAGCTGAGCGCTCAGACATATGTTGCACCTGCTGGGACTGAACAGAAAAGTCACAGGTGGTCCACCCAGTGTAAGAGAATAGGAAGAGCCCTGGTGGATCACACCAAAGGCCCATCTAAACCCAGCATCCTTTTCTCAGATTCCTATTGGAAGCCTGAAAACAGGACATGCATGTAACAGCATTATGAGAGAGGGAGATCCACTTTCTCCATGCCATGCATGATTTTATAAATTTCTATCATGCCCCCACCCCGATCATTTTTTTAAACTGAAAAGCCCCCAGTGTTGTAACCTTTCCTCATAAGGGAGAAGCTCCAACCCTTTGATCATTTTAGTTGCCCTTTTTGGAAACTTGCTACACGATAAGAGAATAGGGGAGGAATTTGACGTCCTGCTCTTCTACTTGTTCCATCAGTGAAAGACTTTCGGCTTAGCAGGTGGAATGACCCCCCTCTCTCCTCCCCACACGCCTTGTTCCAAGGGTTCTCCCGACCCCCCTAATCACCACCCACCAAACAGGAGGCCTGGAGGGGAGGCGGGAAAGCCCCATTATGCAAGTGGAATAATAATAATAATAATAATAATAATAATAATAATATTTATACCCCACCCATCTGGCTGGGTTTTCCCAGCCACTCTGGGAGGCCTTGAACAAAATATTTAAAATACAATAAAAATTAAAAATATAATAAAAATCAGTCCTTGTGCAGGATTTATGTTGACAGGCAGGGCCAGATTAAGACCTTTAGAGGCCCTAAGCACTTAAAAGACTTTGGTGCCTCCATATATATCTTATTCAAAATACTTGGTGGACCAAGTGGCAATTTACCAGATTTTAATTTTGTTATATATTTTGTTGTATTATTATTATTATTATTATTATTATTATTATTATTATTATTTCTTTTTATTCTTGCACAGATATATATGTAATTTTTTCATTTATTGTGGAGGCCATTTTTTCCCCAGCTGCACCATATGGCCCATGGTAAATTCAGCAATGGAAATTTTTTGTCGTGCCCCCCCTTCCCTTGATGCCCTAAGCACATGTGTCTTTTGCGTAATGGTTAATCCAGCCCCGTTGACAGGGCTTGTTAGTTGACTCCTCCCCTAGGTGTTTAGTACTTTGCCTGTCTTTCAGCAGTTTGGTATAAGATTTCATAGGCCTCCTTTAGAATAGCGAAATTGAAAATTTGCCTGTGACGTGTATAGGGTGACAGAGTTGTGAAAGCCCAACAAGAAACTTTGGAACAAGACGGAGATAGACTGAAATTGCAGAGTTTTGAAAAATTAAAAAACAAAGTGCGAGACTGGCTTCATTATTATCAGATAATGGAGGTATTTAAATTGGACAGGAAAATTGGCTTCCAGGTGGAAAGATCCAAATTAGAAACAGAATTGTTAGAACCCAAAACTAAGAATTTGTCAAGAATGTATAACTTGCTGCTGAAATAGAATACTCAGGATGAAACGGTAAAATCGGCTATGATTAAATGGGCACAAGACGTTGGTCATAATATTATGTTTGCTGACTGGGAACAGTTATGGACCACAGGTATGAAATTTACGGCATGTAATGCCCTAAGAGAGAATATTATGAAAATGATATACAGGTGGTACATAACCCCAGTCAAGCTTGCGAAAATCTATCACTTGCCCGATAACAAATGTTGGAAATGTAAAGAAACTGAAGGTACATTTTTTCACCTTTGGTGGACGTGCCCAAAGATTAAGGCTTTCTGGGAAATGATATATAATGAATTAAAAAAGGTATTTAAGTATACCTCCCTAAGAAACCAGAGGCCTTTCTCCTGGGCATAGTCGGCCAAATGGTGTTAAAAAAGGATAGAACTCTCTTTATGTATGCAACAACAGCAGCAAGAATACTCATCGCAAAGTATTGGAAGACACAAGAACTTCCCACACTGGAGGAATGGCAGATGAAACTTATGGACTATATGGAATTGGCGGAAATGACTGTAGAATCCGTGACCAGGGAGAAGAGTCGATGGAGGAAGACTGGAAGAAATTCAAAGACTATCTTCAGAAACATTGCAAAATTAAGGAATGTTAAAGGAATGTTGGACTGAAAGTAAGTGGTTTCCAGCTGCACAGGTTAAAGTGAATGATAGATTAAGATTAAAGATCAAGATCAAAGATGTTTAAAGAAATGGAAATTTGATATTAAAAGGGAAAATTTAAATGTTATATGATATTAAGATCAAGGATTAGGTTTAAAAAAAGTTGAAGTTATATATTTTAACATTTTATTAAATTAAAGATTGGGATTAAAAAAGTGGAAAAGAAACTGCTGGACAAATAATGTGGATTGGAATACAAAGAGGGAGGTATGAGGAAGTCCAGAAAATAAGTAATTTAAAATTGGAAATGGAAAAGAGAGTTTGTTTTTAATTGTTATGTTTTTTTGTCTTTTACGGTTGAGTTTTGTATTGTATTTTGTGTTGTTCTTTTTCTTTTGTTGTTTAAAACTTTAATAAAAATTATTTAAAAAAAAAAAAAAAGAAAGCCCAACAAGAAACAGGGTGGCCATTCAATTTCTGTCCACCGACTTACCTGGTAATCATGGTCCATGGGTTCCACCACAGGGCGTCCAAGGCGCTTGAGCATAATAGAATAGCAAAGGCAGATAGTGAGGAGGGGCAACAGATAGACAGCCAAGAAAGTGTATAGAATGAAGATTCGCTCCTGGCTCTTGCTGGTGAATGCCTCAATACAGTAGGTGCGTAAGCCATACCAGTAGCCGACCTCAGTGCGATGGTACACAGCCATGGGCAATGAGAGAATGAAGGAACCTAGGGGGTCAAAGACACAGATGTCAAGCTCCTATGCAGCGATGCTCCATCTTGTAACCTGCAGAGATCAAAGCAAAACCTACAGAGATCAAAATAACATCAACGAGCAACAATAAACAAACCAGGCCTTATTCGGATACCATGTGATTAAAGCAGATCTTGTTCTTCAGTAAATAGGAGTGGGCCTGTGAAGAAAAGGTGAGACCAGGATTTTGACAGCAACTGAAGTGAACATTAGAGCCAGTGAAAACACTGGAACCACCAATTCTGCTTATAGCCTGCTTATTTCTTAATGTACTGCAGGGTGTTAATTAACTTCCCAATGTCATTGTGTTTCTGTTACCAATACTGATTTATGAATGGTTACTGCACTCATCTTGCACACATGTGTGCTTTAAAGAAATTATGACAATCTGTATTTCTTGCACCCCATTACTCTCTCACCTCACTGTGTATGATTATTCTCTATAAAAGGTAAAAAAAGAGATACGGTAAAGGACCCCTGGACGGTTAAGTATACCCACATGTAAAAATACCTACTAACAGAGGGTTGCATGTGATGCATCTGATGAAGTGGACTATAGCCCATGAAATTAGCTATTTTGGTCAATAAAGAAGTTGGTACTGTATTAGCATGTAAGCAAGTACCAACTTCTTCTTTATTGACCAAAGTAAATGCGTACACCAAAGAGTCAATAAAGAAGCTGGTACTTGCTTAGATGCTGAGTGACAAGCCTGATGCCAGGAATACCAACCTGGATGGGTTAGGATTTAAGTTTACCTGGCTCCTCCGTATCAAGCAAGCGCCAGCCCCTTTCTTCCCCATAAATTTGTGTTCATAGACTTTGCTGCCCTCACTCACCAATCCAGATCGCAAAGCTGACTGCCATGGCTACCTGGGGGGTCCGATAACGGAGTGATTTCAGTGGGTACAGTGTGGCATAGCAGCGGTCCATACTCATCGCCATTAGAGTGATGCACGTAGCCTGCACAGTCACCTGGTGAGAAGAGAAACAACTGGCAAGGGAGACCACATGAGACTCCAGGACACCTCCACCCCCTTCATGGGAAAGGCACTGTTCCCAAATAGCTGCACACATATGTATGATATACAGTGCACAGACACTCGCTGTGCTGGTCCCGAGAGTTAACCGTGCGGTGAGGTCCGAGTCCAGTCCGAATTCAAGGGTGCGGTATGGAGGATGTCCGTCAAAGCTGAAGCTGGGTCCAAGGCAGGGAGTCGGGTGAGGTCAGGAACTCTGGCAGAAGAGCAGGACAGGGTGCAGGCAGGAACAGGCTACCAACAATGTTGCTCCCACAACCTGGGACTGGGGCTGGCTGGCTTTTATCTGCCCCGAGGCATAGGGCGGCCCCGGTCCACAGGTGACTTGCCTCTCCTGGCCTGGAGGCGAGCACTCCTCCTGCGGGAATTTAGTTCCCTCTGCCTCTCTGCCCTGAGCAGCTCAGGAGAGGCTGGAGGGTTACTGGACCCAGAGGCAACCTCAGCTTCCCCTGACGGGGCTGAGAGTAGAGCACCTGCAGGCAATGGGTCCTCCATCACCTCAGGGGCCAGAGCAGACTCAGCTGGTGCCTGCACTTGAGGATCCAGCACAGGTGAGGACCCTTCAGGCTCAAGCCCCCGCCCCGGCTCAGCTGGTTCTGGAGGCGGGGACTCCTGTGCAGGCTGGGATTCCTCAGGTTCAGCCTCCGAGTCCGAATCCCAGGCCATCACACTTGCCCTCACTGCAACACACGTAATATCGTAAATCCACTAAAATATTACACATAGATTATTCCACCATTCAAGCTCACCTGCTGCAAATAGTTGACGAATTTGCACATGAAGTCCCCAAACACCCAGCTGGGGAGGGGATAGAGTGTGGCGGTGAAGGGAACGCAGCACACTAAGAAAATTATGTCAGTGGTAGCCAGGTTTGCTGCAAAAGATACAGAGTCAACATCAGCATGGGACTTAGGCATAATAGGCTCAATAAAGACAGTGGCATAGCGTGGGTTGTCAGCACCCGGGGCAAGGCAAGTAATTTGCGCCCCCTAACCCGTGGATTTTAGCACTCGAGTCTCTTCCACTAGAGGTGTGAGTGCGAGCGCGCGCCCCCCCAGATGTTGCGCCCGGTGTGGCCGGCCCCCCCTGCACCCCCCACACTACACCACTGAATAAAGATCACACATGCGTGTGCTTGAATCGGTATTGGTTGCAGTGGGAAGTTCCTGTTACTGCCTCCCTCCATCTTACTGCCTCTGTTATTAATAACAATCCAATCAAATGGGTAACATATAAACAATAAAAAGTTTCTTAGTAACATCATCACCATCACATACAGGAGCAATTTATAAAAGATTTCTGTTTCCTGAGGCATGTAATGGCTTAAAGATACCGCTCCTGGAAACCTTAAAATGGTATGGAAGATGGAGCAAGCTAGTTTTCTACTGCTCTTGAGGGTAGGACTTGAGGCAATGGCTTCAAGTTACAAGAAAGGAGATTCCGACTAAACATTCGGAAAAACTATCTGGCAGTAAAAGCCAGGCAGTGGAACAGACTCCCACAAGAGGTGGTGGACTCTCCTTCCTTGGAGGTTTTTAAGCAGAGGTTGGGTGGCCATCTGCCATGGATACTTTAGCCGAGATTCCTGCATTGCAGAGGGTTAGACTAGATGACCAATGGGTCCCTTCCAGCTCTATGAAAGTTTCTATCATTTGCTGTGGAGGCATGTGGTTGTTTTGAAATGTTTTTACAATTCACAATTCCTTTGCTTTGTGGCTTACTGCTCCAGGCTCTTTTAGGAAGAATTGTGGCACTTAAAAATAAAACAAACAAACAAACAAATAAGTAAATAAATAATATTCTGCATCATGTTGCTCACTGGATGCTCACTGCATCCAGAATTTTGGAATAGTGACATTTCTGATGGAGCCCCTTGAACGCTCCAGAATAAAGGAACATTGAGACAAGGGCTGTTGTTGCTAGTTAGTCCTGTGGTATCTTTGCACAGTTCCTGTATAAAACTGCTTCCATAACTGCAAGTGCAGGTGGTGATGGTGTTTTATTTCCTATCAATAACACTTTAAAATTGAGCAATTGCACCAATGTATCCCTACACATACCAGGATATTTGAGGATATTTGGTGAGCCAATATGACAGTGATGTGGGATTGAGGATTGGGGTGATCATTCTGTGATATTTTGGCAGCAGCAGACAGAGCTGTACTGCAATTTTTAAATAAAAGTTTTAATAAAATTAACTAATTAAAAAAAATACCGGGATATATAATGCACAAAAAATAGGGCTGAGGACTTCCAGGTGACCTGTTTATTGAGCATTCACACTGATTTGTTTGCAGAGAGATTAGACAATGCTGGCTCCTGGGCAGTTAGATGACCTTGCATCAAAGCAAGTGTTATCCCATAACTTTCCCATCACTTTCCTTATTGCAAATAAGTCCAGTCTTTTGGGGAAGCAGATTTGTCGCAAAAGACCACTCAATCAACTAGAACTGTGCAACCTGAAATTGCTAGTACTGTATGTGTCTGAATCCCACCTGAAAAAGTGATAGTGTGAAAGTGCCCTGAGAGCAGGTTGCAGCCAGTTAGATGCAGCTTTTGGTAAAAGAATGTTAGAAAATAGTTGCATTCATGAAAATGGAGAATGGGTCCAGGGTATACCGGTAATAGGGTAAATCTAGGTTAGGAGGAGGACCAATAACAGACCACAGTAATGACGGAGAATGGGACTGGAAGATAGCTCAGAAGAGGAGCTATTTTGTCTAGAGCAGTCACAAAACTATTTTTGATGAGATACAAGCCTTCACACTAATAATGGAAAGCCTAACAATGATTGTGAGATGGAAAACAAACTAAACTAGACCATGCAAAATACTGGCAGTCTTCACACACTAAGGAAAAGCAGAGGGCAGGGTGGTGGATCGTGGTAATCAGACAAAGAAACACTTACTGTGCTAAGGACTGCGAGTGGGGATTTCTCATCTAGACTCACCAAGCTATGCTTTGGATGCAGACGCTGACCAGCTTCACACATTATATTGGCTGAATCCCTTGGCTAGCTCAAGGAAATTGAAAATGTGAAACCATGGGGAGCTTCCCTTTATACTGTCCTTGTTGAACAGCTGTAGTATGGCTCATCAGGCAGCAAATTTGCATCTCTGTTTAGCTTTTCGAAATATTTTGAAGATGTTTTATCACTTCTCATCTGCTGCCTTAGGGAGGAAGGGTAGGATATAAATGTATAAACAAACTACTTAAATTAAACTAAAGCTCCAACCAGTGAGTTGTAGATGTTTCTCGGGCAGTTTAAACATTTAAGGAAACTGAGCACAAAAGGGAGGGAAACCTCTTGCTCCCACAATCATAATGTGCATGTTGTACAGTGGTACCTCGGGTTAATTCATTCTGGAGGTCCGTTCTTAACCTGAAACTGTTCTTGACCTGAGGTACCACTTTAGCTAATGGAGCCTCCTGCTACCGCTGTGCCACCGCTGCACAATTTCTGTTCTCATCCTGAAGCAAAGTTCTTAAACCGAGGTACTATTTCTGGGTTAGCAGAGTCTGTAACCTGAAGCGTCTGCAACCTGAGGTACCACTGTACTGTGTTCCTGTTGCTGTTGTGTACTGAATTTGCATCTAGCACTGAGATACCTGTGTGTTCTGCCCCCTCCCCTGGTATCTGTTTAATGGGTAAAATGCTTGCTTTTTAAAAGGACAAGCTTATATATCTGGATGGTGAACCTCCAGCCCTCAAACCTAATTAAGCCTGTTACTGGTCCCATGAAGCTGTTTCCCTCAGACTATGCCTGCCTGCTCCAAACCTAGAATTGTATGTGGAGGAAGGTAAGGACACGGTTCAAAAGAAAAATTCAGGCGCTTAAAGTGAGCTCCAGAGGGTTCCTTTGCATGTTTTCTCAGAACAGAGTCCCACTATATTCAACGCTGAACTCAGTGGGACTTACTTCAAAGTAGACACTATAACTGTGGCACGCAATCTAAATATGTTGATAGTACATGGAGAGCTATGAAATTGTGAGAGTTGTTATATCAGGGCACCAAATTTGTATAGTAAATAATGGAAAAAATACATTAAGTAATATACCAATTTGCAGTATTTTCTTTTGGTAAATCAACATACATCTTGAAGATAAGTTACATCCGCGATTATTTTAAAGTTAGAGCAAGTGTACTGAAGATACCTGATGAGCATAGAGGAGAGTAAGATTCTCTTCCCCTGATCGTAGATAATCACTGGAAGACATCAGAACAAGTTAGATACCAGGAACTGTGCAAGCAGGAGGCTACAGGTCACTATGGACCATAAATGTATTCTTAGAAGCTCTTAGATACTACACTTGGGCTGCACAACTGCACATAAGGCAATCTGTCACAATTGCAGCCACCAAACGGACAATTCCAAACAGTTACTACGATGTTGATTGAGACCAATGTTCACTTCCTTTAATTCTATTGTACTAAAGGTTGGGAGGAGGGAAGAGAAAGGAGATCATTCTCGAGTGCAACCTAACCGTGCCATTTATTTCACATGGGTCTGGGTGGCAGCGAAAACCTGCAGGAGAATTGAGGATCAGGTCTGTGTTAGTCCTGCTGCTGCAGCCTTCCTCCCAGAGCTCCTTTTGTGCAGTCCTGCATCTCAGCCCTTTGCATCCTTCTCCTCTCTGGCAGTATTATGAATTCTCTCTCAGGAAGCTTGAGTTGCCTTCTTTGGCTGCCCCGTATTTTACAATGTCCCAACTCAAGATTGTTAATCTGAGATTTCTGAGATTTTCAAACTGATGATGTATATTTTAAAGCCAGAAATAAACTATTTTAAAAGAAACTCTTAGAATTATAAGGTTGGAAGGGACCCTAAGGATCATCCAGTCCATCCCCCTGCAATGCAGGAATATGCAGTTGCCCCGTATGGGGATTGAAATTGAACCTGCAACCTTGGCATTGTCAGCACCATGTTCTAACCAACTAAGATATCCAGCTGGACGAGAATCAGTTTAAAATGAAAATAAAAATTGGGATGGATGGGTATTTTAACCATCTGTCTGCGGAATCAGTAAAATGCAATCAAGACTGAATTGTCTTAGCAGTGGGAGGCTGACCAATAATAGGTAATACTGTATTTACCACACCGGGTGGAGAAGGCATGTCAGGCAAATTCACTATGAGGTTAGTTTTCAACAGCCTTTCCTGTTCTGTTTATGTTATGGAAGAACTGGCAGTAACATTGGGAAAGGGCTGTGCATACTGGGGATATGAAATATTCCATTAGCAATCCTGGTTAGGACGGATGGGCACTCTCTGGCATAACAGAAGCCTAAAGTCATGTCTGGGCACTGTGACATGTGGCAGGTTGAAGAAGATCAGAGAGGAGAGTTGGAAGAAGTTTTACACTCCTTCTTTCCCCCCAAGACACCCGTCAGCAGTCAAGGTGGTCGTGGGGCAAGCCTAGAGCACAGGAAAACAAGCAGGCAGGGTTCACTCACCAATGTAGAAGTTGGTGGCTGTGCGCATCTGGCGGTGCTTGCTGATGACATAGATGACCAGTGAGTTCCCCACCAGACCAAGCAGCATGATGAGGGCGTAGAAGACAGGCACAAGCCAGGCGTCGGTCAGAAACGGGGGTGAGGTGTCCTCCTCTCCACTGCTGTTGAAGATCCACAGCTGCATCCCAACTGGGAGGGCACCATCTGTGCTGGGCCCAACACTGCTAAGCTCCATCAACCAGGGCGTGGTGGGTTCTGCTGTCCCGCTGGACCAGGCCTCGGAAGGCGAAAGCTCAGCCTCCATTCCTGGAGCGAAGGGGAGGACCCACAACAACCCTACCTGGGCAGCCTTCCTTCCTAAGCAATGTGGGTGGGAAGTCTTACTAATTTCTCTGAAAGGAGAGAGAGAGAGAGACAGAGAGATGATGTAGCAGGGACTAAAGCAACTACTGATGTCCCAAGGGTGATCAATTTCTTCTTAGCCACAGGAGAGAGGGGGGTGTGACTTGCAAAGTGCTGGCAGGAATAGCGTTGGCTGCCAAATGTAGGGAAAGGAGACATCCCCCGTTAAACTTCAAAGCTTAAGCAGGTCTTTGGGTGGAAGGAAGAAACAATTAAGAAGCTTCCTAAGGTTTCTCCAACCTTTCAGGCTCAGGGGCAGTAGCAAGGTGATGCAGCAATTATTAGAGGTGGGGTTGGCAAAAGAGCATCTTTTGCGCTGGTGGGTTCTCTCTGCGTTGATCCCCTTATTCCTGCAATCCTTCTCCTGTGCCAGAACAGAGACCCCCGCACACCCCTTCACCCTCATCTGCACCACAGCGTGCTGGCAACTCTCTCTCCTTCTCTCCGTCTGCCCTTTCCACTGCGCTGGGGGGTCCTGAGCTCCTTCCTGTACCAACTCCTTCTTTTCCACCCGCCTCCTTTGGCGCAGCATCCTTCCCGGGACTTACCCTGACCGACGCTGGGCTCTGTACCCAAGGAGAGGCGCAGCAGGCAAGCTGAACTTGCCGATGAGGGGAAGAAAAGGCGGCTCTGATTGGCTCCCAGGGATGCAGTCCACAAGTGCGCGGGGGAGGCTTGAAAATGCCCAGTCCGGGACGAAGGGAGCGGCAGGCAAGTGCACAGCAGAAAGGATCCACGCGATGCGCGCTAGTGTTTGGCAGAAAAGAAGAAGACCATCCTCTGTCTCACACGCCGGCTCAGCTGCAACCCCTCCCGCAGAGCAGGAAAGCAGAGGCGAAAAGAGAGCGAGCAGATCAAACGTGGACGCTTAGAAATGTGAGTCTGGCGGACAGGAGGACTCCAGAGGTCTCCCTGAAAGTTACTCCGTGAGAACACAGAGGCCACTATTTTCCTGAGGTGACCTTGGGTGTTTTCCGTGGTCCTCTCTGATTTAAAGCGAGGAAGGAATCACAAGCCTTGCTTCTTTCTGCAGAGGTACTGAACTGAACCATGACTTGCAACGGGTTGACCCTGGGGATCCCCTCCAACTCCACAATTCTATGAGTCCATGACACAAAAAACTTTCCCGGTTTTCCTGCATATTTGGATTCTTTGACAGTGTGAATGGGACTGTGAGTTATTGGGTGGGTGGGTGAGTGGGGGGCTGATTTTCCTTTTCAGCATTTCTGAAAACTTTCAGTTAGGGTTAAGCACACTATCCTGCACAATTAAAAAATGAACAAAATCTTTATTTTATTTGCAAAAAACAACAACAACATAAGTACCTAAAGCTCAAGAAAACCCATTTAAAGAAAAATAAATCCTTGCTGAGTTCCCTGCTCCCTTTTAAATAAATGGCTTGCATTTCAGAAGGACTCAGGTTCAAATCTGGGCATCTCCAAGTGAAAGCACTTCAGCAGTAGGTGATGGGGGAAAAACTACTTCTGCAGATCCTAGATTTCTGCTGACCAGCCTTCCCTAGTCTGTGGCCCTTCCAATGTTGTGGGACTCAAAGTCCCATCAGTTCCAGACAGCATGGCCAGCGGACAGGGATTATGGGAGTTGCAGTCCAAAACGTCTAGAGGACACCAGGTTGGGGAACGTGGGTGTAGCTAGACAGTACTGAGCTACATGGACAAATGTTGGCTCCTTGCCTAGTAATTGTTTGAAATGGTAGCCTGTGAGTTGGAACCTCTCATTTGCTTAAACAACCAAAACATCTATAGACCAACCTTCAACACCTGCTGTGCTCCCCCCCCCCCCTTATAGTGAATGGGGTTATATAATGAGGGGGATTCTAGGTGCCCCTCCTGCCCCAATCACAACAAGCCTCTGAGGGTAAATCAAGCTTGGAAAAGGTTGGCACCTTCATGGCCTGACACAAATTGTACCTAGGCCTCCACTGTTTGTTTCCAGCACTTGATCCGAAGGGATTCTCAAGCTTCCGATACTTGAAGCAAGGTTTGGAGAAGAGCCCTTCCCATGGTACACAGGGAGAGGGTCATCTTCTGTTTTATAATTAAGGCATGAATTTATTATAGGAACCACCTTTGTTTGGGGAACAAGGCAGACCTAAGCAACCAACCTCAGCCAGGTCCTTCAAAGATCATACCCTTTTACACACACTGGCTCTTACTTTTGCCACTCCACTTATTTTGATAGTTTCATCCCCTCCAAATGAGTATTTGTCCTTCACCCCTGAGGCATCTGCTTTCCAGCCTCTTAACTAATACGAGCATTGTTTTTCTTTCCCCCGCCCCGTCCCTCCACCCCCAATATCTCCAGTTTCTATAAATGAAGAATGAATGAATGAATGACCACCTAGAATAGCAATCGTTCTCAGGAAGAAGCTTATCTTCTCTCTTGAATGCTTCTGAAAGGTATGAGTGGCTTCCTGATATAAAAATGTCCAAGTGTTTCTTTATTTGCTTTTCATCCTAAGCCAATTTTACCGAGAGATGACTGTCTCATCTCTTTTGGGGGGCTGCTCAATATTCTCTTCTTCTTCATTTGCTAATAAGGCACAGCATTCTCTCCATCCATTCCCTTCTATGATTTCTTTGGAAGAGCTTTTCATAGGCCTCTTAGTTCTAGTGCCATGGTGACACATGCTGGCATAAAGACCTCAATAAGCAAAGAGGCACTAAGGATGGGAAAGCACACAATGAGGCAGAGCCATATTGGTAATGAAGTATAAGGGCAGACGAAAGGAAGGGGAGAGAGTGGGGAAATAACAAAATGGGAGGAAGCCAAGTGCACAGTCCTGTTCTACTCTTGGACCACATTCAACTCCTGTTTGCCGTGCACTTACTGCATCTCCAGTGCTGGGTTTTTAACCCACGTTCACACAGCATGATCCAAAATGCATATGTATCCTGTACTGCTGGTTGATGCATCATTTCTCAAACCAGCTTCACACTGATTGGATTCCTTAAGCTGTTACTAATTTGTTTGTATAAACAAACAAAAATGAACCTCATACTAATTAAGCTGTACTGATGTGAACAGCTGGTGGGGAGCGAAAGAGCAGTAAAGCACCTCAGGGGGAAAACAACTGTGATGCACTGTAAGGCGGCAATGTGAACACACCCTTGGTCTCTGCCTCTCTCCAAAGCTTGCTTATGATGGAGCTTCTCTCTGCCTTCCTCAAATTAATTTAGAACCAAGGTGTCTAAGCAAATGCCTGATGAGACTACCACAGCTAGTCCTTTTCTTAGTGGCTCATAAGAACTCATGGTGAGAATTCAATTGACCCATCAAAAGAGCTTGCTTTTGATGGAACTTCTCTTCCTCAGTTCCCCTCAGGTTAATTTAGAACCAAGGTGTCAAAGCAAATACCTGCCAAGGACTACTATGGCTACCACAGCTACCCTTCCAAGAAGCTCAAAATTGCATACATGAACCATTATTATTTTTAATCTCAAAGCAACCTTGTGAGCTGGATTGTACTGAAAAACAGCAGCTCCCTCAAAAGGTTTGTGGCTGAGTGTCATGAGGACTTGAACCTGGATCTCCCCGGTCCTAGTCTGACCCCTCTAGAGACTGCACTACACTGGACTGCCAATGCCTCATGGATTGCTCAATCTCTGGGACTGTCTGATATCACCTTCCCCCAATCTAGATCATTGTAAATGATGGCTCAGTCCCCAGACCTGCATGCCAATGTACCTGCTGTGAGATCAGATTTCTGGATATTCTTGAACCTTCCTGCACCTGGGATTAGAGAGCATTTGTCTTGCAGGCTGGCTTGAACATCAACACCTCTGGTCTGGTCTATGCATAGAACAGAATGAGATAGTACAGTCTTCCTGGGCTGAGCTGGGGAGCCTGTGGTCCTCCAGATGTGCTTAGGCTACCATTGATAAATGTGTGTTGAGTTGCAAGGAGGGCATGAGTGATCACAGTCACTTCAACCAGCTGAATGCTATGAGTATGCATTCAACTCATATTCAGAACACACCACTATGACTTGGCCCTATCTCTGATCCAGAGGTGTAGTACAGAGCTCCCTCACAGACCTTTTTGTAAAGTTGTTTGCATCATGATGTAAAGCCAGCAGGATCATTCTCAAGAACACAGACTCTCCCCCAAAGAGAACAGCAGACATCTGAGTCAGAACTAATCAGCAATAAACACATTTACCAAGCTGGCAAATTGGATGATTAGGAAATCAGCAGCCAAACACCAGGCGGGTTAGCAAGCACATCGCCTGGCATGACTGTCTCTCTGGAGAGGCTTGACTAAATTCATCTAAAGATAAACTCACAAGGAGCCTTTGTAAACCACAAAAGGCAAATTATTGTGTCCTCTCTGCATCACTGGAGTGACTGAAAACCACTCTGCCAGATAAATATTTTTGTTTGTTTGTTATCAATCTCTCGCCAGCTTAGATATCTGTCTCTGACTATGCTATATTTTTCTACAAGAGCCCGGAACCATGAATTCCTGCCATAAAAAATATATTCTCTGGAGGGCAGTGGTGAGGGGGAGTCCTTCAAACTCTGATACTGAAGAGAGGGCATTTCCACAGAGGTTGGCTGAGGCAGCCTTCAGAATCACATGCTGTTTGGCCTGCACAGTCAGTGGTGCCATCAGGACAGAAGTTCAAGGCCTCACTCAGCAGATTGGGAAGGAAAGCCCCCAAATTAGGCAAGACCGACTTACACATTTTGAAGTACATGAAGTAATACACATTGCCATCTATAGAAGGGCCCTCATATAAGACTGTGAAGTCCCAGATTGCCTAACTTCACCACAGCTTAGTTTTTTAAAAAAATATTTAAAGGGAGGAAGGGCTTCCAGAGATTGTAAAGAACAACAAACAAGCGTAGAGCTTGTTTTTGAAAAAGAGCTGTTTCCTTT